CTGATGAGAATGCTTATTAAAATGTAATTTTAAATAAGACATTAAATTTATGAGCTAAGTTGCCTTCCTATTTCTTTGTACACTGAGAGGCATTAAAATCACAACTAAATATTATTGGAACAACCAATAGGTTGTGTTTTTAATGCCTCACAGAGGCAAGAAGTAAAATGAATGTGTATTTAGATCAAATTTAAGACTAGGTGAACACCTGGGAGCTGATGATTAATGTAGACAAGTGCTTAGTGTTACACTGAGGTAAAACTATAAACAGGAAATGGGAAATGCTAAGCAAGAAAAGGCTACCTATAAAAAAGGCTGAGGTGGTTATCTTGATATCTACGTCTTATAGAAAGTGTAGAGAAAGAAAATAAGCAAACAGAATATTATGAAACTCAGTTAAAGGTATAGAGCTTAAAACAAGGGCCATTATGTTAAAATTGTACAATCCACTAACAGGACCTCATTTACAATAGCATACAATTATAGTCACCATGTTACAAGAAATACACTGCTGCTCCAGATTCAGCCCAGAGAAAAGCCACCCAGGCTTTTCCTGAAGCAAAACAAAGCTGAATGTGTTAACTCTTAAACAGAGAAGCTTAAAATAGGACCTTGGTTACTAAAATCCTTAAAGGCACTGATAAGGTGGACTACATCATAACAGGAGAACTTCTTAGAGTTGGGTCTACGTCAAACAGTTGTAGGAGTCTGGTACAAGCTGCCCACCAATGTTGTTGAAGCTGATACCCTGGCTTCTTTCAAGAAACGGCTGGGTGACATCCGTGGGTCAACTGGCTACTAACTACCACATGGACTAGAATGGCCTTCTCTGCTTTTTACCCTTCCTTATACTCATCTGTATTTTCATCTCAACAGAAACATTAATTCCATTACTTGGAAAAACTGAACCGACAGACAATATTTCAGATATACCTCGGTACCAATCGTTGTCTCTACAATGTTAGGAACAGTTGGCACCATTCACACAAACACTTGATATTGATTAAAGGCAGCAGCTTTTCATCTGAAGCATGGCTTATTAGAAGGGCTAATTCATCATTCTATAAAGGCCCCCCCAATAAATCGAAGTCTTCTTGGATACTTACAAGGCTCCTTTGGGTGTAATTAAAAAATAATAATAATTAAGCACCATCCTAAACCTACTGTACTTTTAACATGTTGATAGATTTGCAACATCTTAACCAAACTCATATGGTTCAAACGACGAGACTAAATGCTCACATTTAATGGAGCCGAAAACTGGAAATGTATTCAAAATAGCTTCAAAGCCCACCTCTGGAATTTCTCCAGATTTGCAGATTTTAGAAATAATATAAGCGCAAGCTCATTAAAGCTGAAAGGTCTTGTGTTTTACATTCCTCTGAGCTAAATTTAATTGCTTGGGATTTGAAGCACATTATTTTGTAAAGTTCCTTCCTTAACACATATTTTGAAAAGTCATTTTTTTTCTGTGTTGCTCTGGTTATAGTGAGAGGCAGTCCATAGACAGAAAGTTGAAAAAAAGATACCTTTTTGTCAGGGATTTCTTTTATAGGTGACTGCAGACACATCCCCTCTAAAGGTACACATTTTACTGACTGGTATGGAAAGCATTTAACTAATTCTAATTAAATTTGCTGAGAAACATCCTAGTCAGTTTCCAAGTCTAAAGCAAACTGCAGGAATTTAACTGTATTCAAATGTTGTTACGAAAATAATTTAAATGCAGAGGCTTTTGTTGAAAAACCTGTCACTCAACTACTGAAATAAGAATTGTTGACAATGTCTAATCAAATTCTCTGAAATTGGACTACAAAGGTATTAAAGGATTTGGAATGCATACTAGAGTCTGCAGTTTGAATAACAAAGTTCATCTTTTGCAAGGTCGGTTTTGAAAGATTGAGAACAGCAAATATGAGGTCCTTCACCACAAAAAGATGGGGTGGAATGGGCTATTTTTTTGAAGAAGGCATTTCTGCTGGTACAATGACTTTCAAATAAACAAGAGAACTGATTGCATCTTCACAGCTGAATTACTTGGAGTGCGCTTTCAGCTTCGACTGATGACAACAAAAGAGATGGATATATAAACAAACACTGTGGAATAAACCCAGCACTAGTCTTTAGCAGTGACTTGACAAACTACACCAGAGGTTCTTGTGTAAAATACATCAGCCCAATGTTGTGCTTAATCCCTAGCTCACAAAATAACATGCTCTGAATATTTAATGATAGGGAAACGAACCAACTGTCATCGCTTTTTGTAGGCTTCTGTGTGCAGTCAAGGTATAACTGTGACTAAGACCACTTGTCTGAGATAGAGAATCATTTTGAAATGCGAGGAAGGCTCAAATACTGATATACAGTACACAACATTAGGATTAAGTGGAATGATTTAATACACAGATTGCGTGATTTACAAAGTTGAAATATTTTGATCTATTAAAAGATTATAATGATACCACAGAACCCTGAAGTTATCTGAAGTCACAGAAAAAAAAAAATCATCATCCAAACCAGAAATAACTGGAATCTGTTAACTTTGGCAAGAACATCTAGCTCTAGTATTAGTGCATACATGATATCTTACCTATTTCATAAGATTCACAATCGTAAAAAAGACAAATTACAGTAAATCAATTTGAATGTTTTCGGGCATTGTGCAAAAGAACAGATCAAAGGAGATTACCTTTGTGTGCATGTCCAGTGCAAGTTTTTATTGGGCCATTAAAGTTAGGAGGTCAGGGAAGGTGTTTTAAAGCTAGGTTTGACAGGAAACTGGGCCAAGCCAGTACATAGCTGTGGAGGGGACTTTAAAGTCAGGACACTTCATTGTAGAGAACTGGGATCTTGAGGCTTGCACCCTTCGTGGAGTTTGTCAGAACAGGAGCAGGGTGAGCTCAGAACATGTAAAACTCAAGTCACTGTTTAACCCTCCCTTCCACCCCGCAGGCTGGGTTTCTAAGTCTGGCTATCCATGACTGGCCCGTTAAAAATGCACAACAACGACATTCAGCTTCAATATTAAAAACCAAATGCACAAAGCAAAACAAAACAAAAAAAAGAGACGGACATCTTCCTATTGCTGCAGAAACAAAACTGGCGAGCTGCAAGAACTGCAGCCATACTGCCGCTCAGCATCACCACCCTGCCTTCCGCACACTGCGCTGCGGCTGAATGAGCCACTGTTCACCGCGCACACACGTCTGTGAAACTCCCAGCGCACCGAATAGAAGGGGACTATTTTACTAGCCCTCTGACCACTGCAGGCCTCCAGCTTGTGCTCCGCTGCTGCCCACAAATTAATTCTGCGGTCGCAGCGACGCCTCCCCAAGAAAGCGGAGTGCATTATAAATAAAGGCTGTTTACCTCTTCTCGAATCAGCAGCTCTAACGGGGCTGTAACAGAAGACCCTGAACGGGATGCAGAGGAGGGTCCAAGGTCCACATGCTGTGAAAGGAGGCTCTTGTGAGGCCTGTCAGACCAGTAACTGGCAGCACCCAGAGCCTGTAACCCTAAATTGATGTACCCATGTCTCCCACTGAAAATACCCACCGGGCACTAAAAACACAGGGCGGGTATCAACTTCTCTTTCACACACAATGTACAAAAATAGTAACAATTAAGGTTCGTGAAACATTTTTGCCATCATCTGAAGCCGTAATATCTCTCTCCAACTTATTTTCAAAAATGAACCACGAGAAGCTTTTTTAATCTGATCTACAGCTCTGAGCGTTTTAATTTTGCGAGACTTTAAAGTCAGAGGAGTGCGCCTGACTTAGCAGGATGCTTAAGCAGCAGCACAGCAAACAGACAGAGGCCTGGGAGGCTTGTCAGGACACATGGAGACCTTTGTAACAAAGCTGGTGTGCAAATACGCTACACCAATGATCCATGAGAAGCAGACGGCATCCCCATGTGTCCCGTTTCTGTCCTACTATATTCCCACATCCTTTCTTGTGCGCTCCATCTCCAACATTTATGAAAACATTGTTCTCCTTGGCATCTGTACTGTGGAGCATCTCCCTTTCAGCTTGTTTCCTCACCTAGATGTCTGCGGGAGTATTATTACAGAAGCACACTTCTTAGTCAGCACACACAGTGCTCCCATGTGCAGCCCGGCTGAAAGAAGAAACGCTGCTTCAGCCGGCGAGCCTGCTTCAGGTGTGGCAGAATGCTGGTCTAACAAGAGAACACAGCTGTGGGCCCCGTGGGGGGTGGGGGGGTGGAGGAGGAATGGCACCTGAAGAAGGCTGAACAGCCAAAACAAGACACCTCCCCCCTCACCCTCAGATGTAACCAGTCCCATCACTGAAATATAAAAAGCATGGCTTGTAATGGTTTTGTGTCTACGTAAAGACTCAGGAGCAAGAAACCTCTATGTGTTGTACGTACCGTATGTCTTCGCTTTGGTTACAGCACAAACAAGGCACAAAAGTTATACTTTCAGGGTAGTTAACTCTATTCTCTTAGGAAACAGCTGCTGCTTTAGCTTGATGAAATCTGAATGTGTTCAAAAGAAAAGATCCCATTCTTAATCACTTGAACCATGTCTTGTCTTCTATTTGGTCATGGGTGTTGTTTCATTTTTGGCTTAGTCATGGTAAATTGGCCGCGCGAATGAAAAGCACACTTCCATGGCTTTCCTATCAGGGCTGTTGGGAGAACTGATAGTAATCACAGCTAATCACACTGGATTTGACTCATCAGCCTCTTGGCAGCCCTTTTCACCATAGTCAGCGAAACGAATAAAGAGTGATCATAGGAAAAAAAACACGCTGGAAAATCTTAATGCTAATAAATGTTTAATTTACAAAAATATCAAGAGCCTCGAGATCAACAGCAAAAGATTTCTCTCAAAAATGTTGGTTGATGTTATTCCTTCAAGATAAATCCCCAAAATAGCATTTTGGACGTGCAGTGGTCATGAAGGCTGATGCAGGAGGCCTGCTGTAACCCCGCAAGCCCTCCTCAGCGTTCTCCAGCAGTGCTCCTCTTACCTGAGACTGGAGCCCCGGGCTGGTGCTGTATCGAGCAGTGGTCCTCATCCTCAGGAGAGTCAGGAGAGCTGGCCGGGGGACCGCGAGCCCCTGACATCTGTCCACAAGCTAGGGGAAAGCGACAACGAGGGGGGTCAGACTGAGCAGCACTTTCCTTCTGGGTTCCCCGAGACGCGCGCAGGAGCCACAGACGCAGACACGGCTGCCTGGACCCGAAGAAGCCTTGAGAAACTTCCTTTGTTTTCAGTCTTCGTACAGGAGGGAGCCGCCCAGCCTGATTAATCAGCTCGTCCGCTAACATCCCGGACCGCGAGGCGTTTTTTTAAAACCCAACAGTAGCTGGGTTGATGGCACCCCCTTTCGCCTGTCACAGTTAGAGGGGTACAGGTGTGCTAGGGAGAAAGCGGCCCTGTGTATTCCCCGTACTGCGGAGGTCCTGACGACACGGAGAGCAGGAGGGCACCGATACTCCCGAGCACGTAGGTGCCAGGCAGCTGGTGACAGACACCAGCCTTGACAACTGTGCATTCTCCTCTTTTTAAAATAAATTAGGCTGCACATTGTATAATTAGAACATGATGACCAATATGTAATCAGTTGCACAAACTATAATTATTACCTTTAACTACAACTTGCTATTTACATAAATTATAATACAGACCCTCCCATTTTAGACACCCAGGTTTCTCAATAAAGGTGACCCTATTGTACATACAGTAAGGATCTCATATTCTGTTTGAGTTTACAAAGTCACTTTATTAAAGACTAAAGATGCAATTCGGAAAAATACGGCTATTACATTTCACAAAAATATAACTAGAGTGTGATTACTAGACTCTACTAGACTGTTTGCTAAACAAAGGTTAGTCATATGGTCATTTCTTTTTACTGACCGCTCATCAGTGTAAGATTAACGATAATGCAGAATAATGCTCTCGAAGACAATGAGGTTTTTAATTGACAGGTGAAACGATTTACTTTGGTACAATGTTGAAGTAAAGTTAAGCCTCGGTTTGTGGCTTTGCTAGCTGTCATTCACAAGGGAACTCAAAACTAAAACAGATATAGGTGAACGTAAAGAGAAACGCACTCCAGATAGGTGTAAATCTTTTATAGTGGTAACCCAGCTCTCACAGACAGGTATAATTTTTAATCAAATGTTACCTGGATATTGACTTTTTTTAGCCGATACTTTGAAGATAGAATCCTACTGCAGACACAACACGCACCAAACAGCCCGTCTGCGGGTTCTGGTCTTCGTCACTAGACGCCAATAGCCTAAATCAAACATTTCGCTTCTTTATTTTTAAAAATAAAAACCTCACCATAAACAAAGCTGGCTAAGGATGACACTGTTTTCAATTCCTATTTCTCTTTAAAGCACCCCCTACCTTACGCTCACCTGAATTCTGTTTTTTTCTAACGAGCCTGAACATGCTCGAGCGCAAACGAACTCAAACCTGTTGGACGTGCTCAGATATCGCTTAATTGGGACAACGATAACAATATCCATTGAAACAAAGCATAAATACGGCATATAGAGAACAATTTACCCACCTTGAGGCGCTCAGAAATACTGCATCAATTGCATTCTATGCTTCTTTCTTCACTTGGTTCTTCTTCACAAACTTATCTATCGTTCATTCCGGCTGCAGTTATTACTTTACTTGCACAGCCTGTTCCGATGCCTGTGTCCCAATGTGATGAGGAAAAGTTCTTACGGCCTCTGCAACTTCCAAATTCCGGCGTTTGTGTTGCTGTTGGGTGAAGTTTTCGTGTTTCTTGTGTATCCCTGTTTCTCGCTCCCCGAGCCCCTGGGAGAGATTTCTTCGTGTGCCGCCGCGCTCGCTTTTCCAACTTTTGGCTTTTTGCTTTAGCCGACTGGACAAGCGCTGTTATTCGTGTTCGCCACCTTTCTCTAGCAACTTCGCTGTATCTTGTCCTGTGTTTTACCACTTTCTAACGTCTGTTACCCTTCTCTCTCTCCCTCCCTCCTTCCCTCGGTACAGTCTTGGAGACAGCTTCAGTCCCTTCAACAGGAAATTGCATTCAAGGCTGATTACTGTGTTTCCTTTAGGCAAGAAACTTAGAAAGAACTTGTGTTTAACTAATCTATAATTAGGTTTAACCTAAAGCAGAGACAAATGAAAACAAGGTTTCGGGATGGTCCCTGCGCACAAGTAAATTTAAAATGTGATAAACGATACACTGTTACGACAATGCAGTGGAGGAAAGCGATTATTATTTAATTTCGAATGACATTTCTACACAACAATTTCTCACTTAGTTCTTAGCCGTTCACTTGAACTTGTAACTTCTCTTTATCAACGCTTAATTCTGACCTGATCTTATTTTTTTAATCCACATTCTTTTAGTTGTTATTTATAGATCAAAAGCTGACTTTTAATAAGCATGCCCTTCTATTATACATTAGGTACTGTATAATGTTGCCGGTAAAACCAGATAAAAAAGTCTCCACGCTATGTAACTGTATTCCACTTTCTATTTACAGTATCTGCAGGTTTTCTTTGCAACACTCAATGTCTACTCCTTCTAATAATTCGTATCTTGTATGGTGTAACAATTGTATTTTGTTTCCTTGGACAAAACTTATTTAACAACACGAAAGTTTTTACTGCTAAGACTCATTGCAGGGCAGACTGCTTAACCTGCAGGCTATTTTAAGTAGACTGTACATTGTGAGGCATGTGTCAGTTCTTCAGAGATAGCTTCTCTACGCTTAACACTTAATGGGTAGCAAATGTTCAGAGGTTTTTTTTCTGTATGGATAACCCTCAGTAATGGCTGCCTAATATACAGTATGTAGTGTAAAATGAGTAGTGTATCGCACAGAAAGATTAAATCAGACAGTTCTTGCTGCTATACTAGAGTGGTGTTTTCTCTAAACAATTCTATACATACACTATATTTAACATGCATTTGAGTTAATAGACTACAAGCTTTGGTAAGGATTTAATCGGGATCATTTGTTTCAGCTAGAGTGGGTAGAGAAATACATGATTCCCAAGTGCAAGAATTCAGACCTTCAAACAGCATGATTAGAAATGAAGAACTTCTTAGAACCATTATTGGTTTCTAAGATCCTGCACAGCCCTTGTGAATGCTCACCACCAGGCGTCTACACAGTACTTTGCAGAGTGCCCATAGGTCTTGCACTCCTTTTCCTTCGCCTTGGTCTCCAGCTGGTTTCTTTTTTGCTTTGCCACCCTTTTCTCTGCCACCATTTCAACGTTTGCCATGGTGTGGGCTGGGGCGACCGTGGAGTAGCGGCACTGGTTCTGGGTTCCCGAATGGAAGTTCCCTGGGGCCCTACTGCCTTGAACTCTGCCTTGCGCCCGCTCCTTGTCGGCAGACGATGGCTCCCCCGTTTCCCTGAACTGGATGAAGCGGATCAGTGTCTGATTGTAGTTTGAAGTTCAAAGGGTACCGTTTGAGACTGCTTGCATCTAGTATACTTTGTTAAGGCTCTCTTCCTTAATCTCCTGATCTGAGCTAACAGCGTAGGATTTCATATTTTATGAAGTACATTCCAAACCTGCGCCCTGGTTTAAAATTCATCATCAAAAACCGGTGGAATGCTCTCTGGCTGGAGATCGTGCTGATGGCTGGACGTGCCAGGCACTTGACCCTGCACCTGCCTAAGTGGTGGAACTGATGAGAACCGTATGGATGGTGGATGTACAAAGGGGTTTTAGGGCCTGCACTCTTGAAAACGCTCCTTAAATCATGTTTAAGTGTACCTTTTGACATTTCAGGCTGCGGAAAGCAAGGCAGTCAACCGATTTTGGCAACTAAAAACATTTGATAGTGTTATCAGCGCAATTTCACACACTCCATTGATATTCTGTTGTTTACTCATAAATTAATTCAAACCTACTAAAATAAGCAAGTGCATTTCTCAGTATCAAACATTCCTGTAAAACCAAAGGTTTCAACACTTAACAAGCTGTCTGAGCGTTTCCTACTGCATAAATGTCTAGCACTTTGGGACAAACTTCACAACTCATGTCATTCTTCAGCGATTAACCTATTACTTGATGGCGACCTTTTGTTTTACATAAGAACATAGAAATTGCGTACGAAAGAACTTTGGCTGTTGGGCCAAAGGCGATCATTTGTTTTTTAATATTGTAGCGATTCAATTACCTCATCCAGCTATTTCCAGGGGAAGTCAATAGAAACCAGCTTGTTTCATACTCTAATTTATGAAAAAGCACCCCTACACACTTTTTTTTCTTTTAATATCTGTAATGTTTATAATGTTTAACCATGTCCAGAAAGGGAATTTGAGAAGGACACCCCCACATCACACTGAGAAATGTTTGTTTAGAGGGGAACCCTCCCCCTCTAGACATGAGAATACACCCCAAACTAAAAACTAAAATGATCTGATCATCTTTAATGCCATCAAGTATCTGTTTTAGCCCTGTCCAATGCAATTGACCTTCCCTTAGGTCAGTACTCTGCAGTATCTGGAAGCTGAACTTACCCAGGATGATCTCAGTCTTAAGGGGGTCTGAGCTAAAAGTTGGGACAGTCTCATTCTCACCCAATGAGCTGTAGAGAGTTTACATGGGTCTCTTCCAAAAAGCAAACCATCCCCAAGCCCTCTACATTTCCTCACGGGTGAGGTGGCCAAGCCAAATACAACAGAAAAAGTTCTTCTTGCTAAGACTCTTTTGTGTTTGTGGCCAGCAAATATCCAAAGGTTATGTCAGGGTTGGTCTACAGCTGAAGAAACAACAGAGACGCAGCTTGTTCTAACTGGACACAACTTTAGTGGGTCTTATTCAGCAGTGTGACAGTAACTCATGAACATAACAGGAAGAGCCTTCATTTATTTTTCATAATCACGCTCTGTTTTTGTCTCCCACTAACAATTTGGGAGCTTTGCCTAGGACATTACACACAGCTACAGGACATGAGTTACAGCAATGTTGTTATATCACTGTCAGTCCCAGACAGAGACGTACAGCCTCACTTGCCCTATGTATGATATAAGCACCACTGCTTTCCTCTGCAATAGGTCGCCAGGTGGCCCAGCTGATAAGTTAACCCGAAAACTCGAAAGTCGAAAAACCCAAAAGCTAAAGCCCAGAAATGACCTATTTATATAGCCAAGCACATGTTGCTGGACTGATGTTCCTATGCTCACATTACACTCCACTGCTCAAAACCTCACATCCTGTTGTCAGTCTCTTTTGTCTACTCTGTAGCCGCAGCAGTGGATTTAATCATTTACTCTTTCGTCATCCATCCATCCACTTTCTAATCATTTAATCAATTTAGGGTAGCGGGTGAGCTGGAGCCTATCCCTACAAGCAATGGGGGAAAGGTGGGATACACCCTGGAGGGGACACCAGTCCATCACAGGCTCTAGGCTACAGAGACAGCTCAAGGTGCCTACATTTGGTCCTCCTGGTCATTTTATTGATCTTTTCACTCTTCTACATCATCCTGAACGTCCTCAACTGGACAGATAAAATGTTCTGTAGAGCTAATCTACCCAGTAGGACAGAGGACTACTAAAAGTGACTGTAGCCAAGGATCAGTGTTCCTTCCTGTGCCCAGACTGACCAGTGTCTCAACATCAATCCCCATGCTGACTTCCTGTCACACACCACTGGGGGAGCCACCAATACACCCCTCCACTCCAGACTGCTTGAGAGAAATGGCAACATCATGGTGTTGAAATTTTCCTATGGTTATTTTTTGAATAACAACAGCACTGTACAAAAAGAATGAACCATGAACAATTAAAAAAAAACTCTCAGATTCACTATACCTTAACCACCAAGGTAGCCAATGTCAATGTTTAAGCATTAAAGTACAGCCGATTGTTGCGTTGAAGGATGAACGAAGCGAACGATACTGTTTACAACACGTCTTCTCGCGTCCAGGGCTGTGAGCTTCACTCCTGGCATACAGGAGCATCCTCAACATACAGCACTGCGGCGGTCCTGAAGCCAAGAGGCTGAGCAGCCAGCAGCCAATTGTGTGAAAGAGCTGCTAATGCTGTGCTCAGGGGGAAGAACACCGCAGATACCTATTGGGAGCTTTAGTATTATTCTAAACTTTCGACGTGGTTTGTTTTCAGTGGGTCGCTGTCGGCTTGGCATGGCCAAGGAATGGGGAACCGAGCTACAATGTGTTTCTAATCAGCCACAATGATGCTTTTGTTCTCCAACACAAAGTTGCTTCAGGAGTTAGTAAGAAAGCACTGACTCCAAGATGTGTGTTTTTCTTTCAAAGTTTCAAAACGAGGGCTGTGATACTGTGAAGAGGCGTGCATGATGGGACGCTAAAACTGTTCCTAAAGTGCTCCACATTCCAGTGCAAATCTGACACTGGGAAATCAGGGTGAACTGGTGCATAGCTGGGTTTCTTTTAACTGTCTGTCATGAACGTGCGCCCAGACACTTTTGGAAAAATGTGGGATTTGACAAATATTTTGACACATGAAAGAAGCCGTGCCAGCCCAGGCCTGGTCGAAGCTAAAACATTTGACAGTGGTGACAAAGTCAGGTTAAGGGACATTCGAGTTTGTCAAAGCTGAGGGGCATGAACCCAGGTCAGCTCATTGGAAGGAACTGTTGGATAAATTCATACTTCTGTCTCTAGTTCTATACCCAGAGGAAGAGCCTGAAAGGACTGAAACCTTGTTTTTCATGTTTTAATACGGTTGCAGACCATATTGGCCTCCTAATCTTCCTCTACATCTAAAAGCTCTTGCTGTGACCGTCAGCTGTTGAATTTTGAATTGGAAGGTGAATGGATAATGTCTCTTCATCTTCTGAAAACAAAAGAAAACAAAACTTTCATTTGCAGATTTACTTCTATATTTATTGCTGCAATACTTTGATAAAAATGCAAAGGGGATACTTGTTGATGGGATTGTTTTTGTGGTGAATTTTCTAAATGTAGGTCATTAACCAATGTAATACCCCCTTGCATTTATATAGCCCTTTTCATTCCATAGAGCACCCTGCCAATGCAGAAAGGCACCCGCTTTATCCCCCACTGAAGTGCAGCCCCACCTGGGTGACACAGTGGCTCTGTGGCTGGAAGGTTGCTGGTTCAAATCCCACAGCCGGCAGAGGAGTCCTACTCCGTTGGGCCCCTGAGAAAGGCCCTTAACCCCAACTGCTCCAGGGGCGCCGTGCAATGGCAGACCCTTCGCTCTGACCCCAAGCTTCTCTCCCTGTCTGTGTGTCTCATGGAGAGCAAGCTGGGGTATGCGAAAAGACAAATTCGTAATGCAAGAAATTGTATAGGGCTAATAAAGCAACATTATCATTATCAGGGCGGCCACTCTGCACCTGCAGGAGAGAGAAACTGCTGCACCGGCTGAATCAGGGTAACTTCAGAGAGGCAAGACTGTGCAATGTCAAAAGGAATTTAGCCGGGATGTCACCTAAATGAACACCCCTGCTTTTGCAAACAATGCCCTGGGATCTTTATTGCCTGAGGAGTCAGGACACTGGTTCTGCACGACACCTTCTGCAGCACAGTGACTCCAGTCACCAGGCAAGGGGTGCTGGTTATACACAGCAGGACTATGGTAAAGTATGGAGATGTGCAGGCAAAATACGTGGTACTCTCTCTTAGGGAATGTTTAGATACTTTCCGGGGATTTATGCTTCACAGTAGCTTTTTTTGGAAACCATTCAATAAAGCCTGTTTTCTTGATTTCAGTCATTTCCTGAATGTGGGATATTTTTGGACAAATCATGTCTGTTTTTTTCTTTTTCGTCCACGCGCACTTCCGTGATATTGTGAAAGCGCAATCCTTATTGCGGACCAACAAACGCCTTGTAACCTGGAAGTCCCGCTCGGGACGAGGGTTTTGTTGTGCCTTTCCGGTGTGCTGTCTGGCCTGTTTACCCCTCCTGGTGGACAGAGAGTGTAAAAACAGCAGCGTCTCGGACTTGGCTGGGTGATCCACCCGCGCGCGAGGCACAGCCGCGACCTGCAGCGGTCTCTGGGAGCGGCACGAGAGCAGCTCCGCGCGGAAGGGCTGTGCTGCCACGAGGAGTCGGAGCAGCGAGCTGTAGTCTCGCTCGCACGTCACGCCAAGCAGGAGGCGTACGCGGGACGTAAAATCAAAGATACCCACAAAGCAGGAATCATGATTACAAGACACAGTAAGTTCCTAGACGGATGGTGCGGGTAGTAGGGATTGAGTTAAACAGTTGCCATGGATCCCTGTAATCTAAAAAAAGCGATGTGTTCATAAAAAAATCATAAATTAAAACATTTACAATTCTCGTTGTTTACGTATTTGACACTTTTTGTTACATAATAAGACGGAAACATACCAAATACAGCACTCTAACGCAGTCACCAAAACCTGAAACTGTCTTCCTTTGACTCCAGTAAAAATCCAGTTCTCTCTACTTAATGTACCATTTCACTACATTTCCAACAGTGAAGCTCAGTGAGCCATCCGGCTAATACTTGTATCGCTTGCCAAACTTTTTAAATCAAGCGCTGATTGTTTTGCATTCAAATACATTCAATAAGCGTTTATTACATTCTTGAAAGATCACTGCCAAAAGTCGTTTTAATTCTACAAAATGTATAACGGATGAAAGAACTTCTTGAATAAAAATTCCCAATTATGTTAATCAAATATTTATTCTGGGATTCTTCTCCTAGAATTAGTTCAATACCTGGTAAAGCCCTGCCTTCTTAAAACGACTCTTTTCTATTGTGATGAGCGCTGCTCCTGAAACGCTATGCACACCGGCATAACTAAGCTCGTCAATAAAATACATGACACAAAACATAACTTGCACAAGACATTCTCCATTGCAGTGGAAGAGAGACAGCTCTTAAAACTCATTTAAACTTATTTAAACAATGCTTGCCGTTTCTGAAATCGAAGAAGTCAAATATATTTAGTCTAAAAAGACTTTAAACGGTTGTCATGCATAACCTTATACTGTAAGTTACAATGCAGTCTTTACGGGAATCGCAACCAAAACGCTTTCATACCTTTTAAAGCCTTACTGACACATTTGCTTGTGAAATTTTAGGGCTTACAGTCAAGAAACTTACTTTTCCATTTAGTTAGTATGTATGTGATTGTAAATAATGTAAAAAACGCTTTGTGGACAGCTGACATGCTTTAGTTTGCCCGGTAGAAGCTGAGCTCTGACATTCACGCCGCTTCGGAAGCAGAAGCCATGGCTGTCCGCGCGCCAGGCCGCCACCAGCCGCACGCGGCACCGAACAAGGCTATCGGAGCCGTCAGCAGGACAGAGAGAAGAGGAAACGGTACCGTGTCCGCTCGTCCCACATCTGCGCCTGTCCCGCGTCACGGCAGGACCTCGCCCCCACAGGCCTCCGTGGAAGGAGCACGTCACGCGTGCTTTTCTTTGACAGCATTTGAAGGGCACAGCAAAGCGTTGACCCTGGGTGGCGCGGCTTATATTTGAACAAAAAGTCTTTAAGCCAGATGTTTTTTTTTACTTACCCCTTACTGGACCGGGCCGTGGCCCACGCGGCGACACCCCGCTCGCTCGCTCTCCCGTCCTGCGTCCCGCGTGAAAAGAAGCCGGAACCACGTTTCGGAACGAAGCCGCGTGGACTGTTGACGTGAGGCTGAGGCCGTCGCCCGCGATTCCCGAGCCGTTTAATCGAAGCCAGGCCTCCGCGCACAAGGAGTCTTTCTCTTCTCTTCACCTGTGTATTGCTGAGCTGCAGGAAACTCCAGGTCTCCGCAGCTTCAGGGTTACACATGTTTATCACACTATGATGTGCGAGTTCAATTCATGGAAAACGTTTTAAAAACGTTTGTATGAAATCCTCTCTGACGATTCTATATTCTACATACAGGTATAAGGGCATTTTAATTCCTAGAAAGTGGCTGTTGTTGTTTTTTTCTAATTGAGTAGTTTTTAAATACATGATTAATGCTAATTTCTATTGTAATGAAACTGTACAATTGGATTCCTTTGTGCTAAAGCAGCCTAAAATATTGAAAAATGTTATAAAAGCAGGGAATGGTGTCTGGCGCTAGAAACTGAGGATCCTGGGCTAAGCAGTATAATTCAAACTGTGGTAACTACAAAAATCTTGACCAACTTTCACTGGAGGAAATACTCTGCACCTACAAGTGTTTGAATTGGAAAACATATTGTTGTTTTTTTTAGATGGGAACTTCAATGCAGGGGACATACTGTATAGTACAGGCAGGCATTGAACAGAGCAGCAGTGATAAACCAGAGGCACCCTGGTCTTTCTGAACATGCAAGTGCAACCTGCTTTGAGACAGTGTAGTGTGCTGCATTAAAAAGATGTGTGGTTCAGCCTAATTATAAGGTTCCAGTAAAATGGGACTTTAAAAAATGTTATGAGGTACTGTAAAATATTAACATACTTCACTGCAAGTCATCGTAAGCCTTTTTATTGAAATTGTGTTTGTCTTTAATTTCATGTGTTGAAAATGTGCCTATAGGAATGAATGGAAATTGAAGGACATGATTGTTGGCTCGTGGGTGATTAACTGCAGTGCTCAGTAAGAATTATTTTCTGTTCTACCAGCAACCCCAGTCCCAACAAGCTTTGATCCAACATCTGAGTTCAGGGACTAAGAGGTCAGGTCTAGTCTGTCTTGGAAATGGTTCATGTCCGGGCCCTGCAATCCTACGCCTATGCAGTGGGTTTTAGGATGACCCTACAGGGATACCAGTGTTGGCTTGTGAGGATACCCCAATTGTACAACCTCAGATTCTGCTTTGGAAAGTAAGTTCTGAGGAGTGTGCAGATTCATTTAGAATTACATGGCCCTCCTGTTGGCTTCCCTGACTCAGCAAGATCACAGGGCACACACCTACACACAAGGACAATTTTGAGACACGGGTTAACCCAGTCAGCATCCTTTTCGAAAGTGGAGAACACATGAAAACACCACATACACGGCAAACCAGTCCAGAATCATACCCAGGCCCTAAGAGCTGGGGCAATAGAGCTCACCGCCAAGCATACCATACTGTTCCTTCTCTAGCGTGTGGAGCTCATCATTGTTTCTGCAACATTACGTAATGTACAGAACTGAGCTGGGCATTACCCTGCATGAAATGACATATTTAACTAATATACTGTATATAACAGGGTTGACCGGAGCAATCAGGAGTAAAGCAGCTTGTTGGTGGTCACAACAGTGACATCCACTCTGGAGGCCACAGCCCTCTGGCAACAAAGAGCTTCTTCCAAAAAACAGTGCTGTAATCTCCTTAAGTGAAATTTCTTGTTCATTTTACACTTCAGTGTTTCTTGACTTTGAGAGAGTTGCACAAAGCAAAGCCAAATGTATTGCAGTCAACAGACTAGTTAACAGGGAACGTATCCAGTTTGTCAAAGTATTTATTGTAAACTGAGATCCTGAATAGTAAAAGATCCCGTGGCACTTCTTCAAAGAGTAGAGGTCTAAATTCCACTATGAGATTCTTTTGTAGCTGATCTGCTGTGTAGTGGGGTTGCTGGTGCACAACAGCTGCTGTGTCTCACCCAGGTGGGGGCTGCACCTCACCGGTGGATGCAGTGGGTCCCCTGCTATATGTAAAGAGCTTTGAGATCCTTCAGGATGAAAGTTGCTATGTAAACGTAAAGAATGAATTAAATCCTTTAAGGGACCATGGACCATGACTCCATACCTCCTCCAATGACTATAACACATCTATTTTTCTTTATAGGAGGGTCCCAAGACCCATAACTTCTCTGTAGTTAACCTCTCACAATTAATTTCTCATGAGTGTGTACTTTAAAAAAGAGTTAAGAGGAACTGTTGTCCAAAGTGTTTCAGGCTGATAATACACTGATATCAAGCCCTTATAGATTTTTGGTGACATGCCATTTTTTCTAAGCAATGAAATTATTTCAAAATAAAACCAATTGTTATGCTTGCTTCATTGCAAAAGTAATAGAGACATTACTGCAGTCTTTCTTTAAGGCTTATGCATTTAGAAGACTGTCATTTCAAACACATCTTTTCGGTTTCATTTTGTCAGAATCCACAGAACTGCAAAAAAGCAAACATTTGTTCTAGACTTTTTGAAATATCTCTTCAAAATTGGTTTATTTAAATGCTATGAAAACTCCTCCATCCCCAAGAAAGAAATGTACTAAACACTGTCAGACAGTGTAATAAGTATTTTATTGCATTTTATAATGCCATTGTCAATAATTAGTACAGATTACATGCAACTAGAACTACTGTACAGATTTTTATTTTTTATTGTCTGCATGAACAGACACAAGGAGATTCAGGTTACAAATACACAGATATATGTGTTTTTTTATACACCATGAAGAAAAATGGCAGTGACTTGCAGAAAAACAGGGTACCCGGGTGACAAGAATGTGGAGGGTGCATACATTGTTTTTTTCCATATCACCTTAAAATGCCCACTTTTTCTCACCTGGGTCTCACATAAAAATATATTAAAGAAAAAGAAAAACTAAACTGTTACAGGAAGTCACTGCAGAAAATGATCACACATCTCTTAAAATACAATGAACAAAATTCTGGAAGTGGTAGTTTCGTTTTGTTGGCCTAAAGTTTCACACTGGCAATACGAGAGCTGCCTCCCAAGCAAAGTCACAAGGGAAGTCATTGTACAAGGCAAAATGGCTTCCCCAATATGTCACAGGGCCTCACCAGCAAGTTTAATAGTGTGTTTAATGGAATGCACAGATGCAGTGAAGAACGCTAAAATAAAACAATCTCAAGATTTAGCAACACTTTATAATGAGTAACATGTACGTCAGTACTAGATTTATACTGTTTCATGGATTTACAAAACCTGTCCTCTAACTGACTCCTGACATCATGAAACCCATTGAAAAATAATGAACATATCAGGAAAATACTACAGTTTTATAGCACCTTACCTACTAAATCACCTAGATTAAAAAGCGCTCTTCTGTCTTGGGTGCCGCACAGTACCACGTAGAACCACATATCGTATTGTGGAGTTTGAGTAAAACATCCTGTTCTTTACAAACTGGAGGGCTACAAAATTTATCTACAACAACCTCTTTGGCAGCTGAAGAAGAGTTCCAACGTACAGTATCTGATTACCAAAAGCCTGGATTCCTGCTTCAGTGTGCCACTGTGAAAAGCACATACCCGGAAAACTGTAACAGAGAAAGTCACGTTCCTAGTAACATCAGGCAAAGGCCTCCCCCCCTCATTTCCTTCTGTGATGGAGATCAATTATTTGACTTCTGAAGCTGAAGCTGGATGTCTTCCCATCAACCTCTCCCGTCTCCGCCAGTGGAGCAGAAGTCCATTTGGCTACCACATGTGAACGAAACGGCAGGAGTGCAAAAGTGTTTTGTGACGTCAAGACTGCCACAGAAAATACACTTTTGTCAGAAATTGACTAGGCAACATTTGTAAGTTCACGGGGAAAAAAAAGGGTCGTGCAATTTTGTCTTTTCAAAAGAGAAATGTCGACTCCCGCCCTGCCCTCCTCAATCAACCGGTTCATGGTTGCTCCACGGGCTCATGAGTGAATTTTACATGAAAGATCTCCACACCTTATAGGAGTTAGAAGGAAGGAAGGCATGCCTGAAAGGAGAATTGGAATTCTATCTTCAGTCACAATTCAGAACAAGGCTGAAAAAGCTTGTTGAGGACAAAATTGTGGTTTTGTATATTGTCAGATACAGTGGCTCTGCAGCTCAGAGACCCCACAACACTCCGAAACTACCACTGGATACTGAAACACAGTCTTGCAGGTAATGGCTAGATACAGGAATGACTTGGTTTAAAGGGAGGTTTTTTACAGATTGGCACCTAAAAGGACCAATTAAAATACCTTACAGCTGCTCTTTCTTAACATCAAGAGAGGGCTACATATTTTCTTCAATTTTTTCTTTTTTTTTTGAGGTTTTGGTCCTGTCTTTGAGAAAAGTCCTTCTGAGGTATCAATACACAATGAATTCAACTTTTTTGTTTACTTTTTTCTTTCCTTAAAAATGCATAAATGCAGTACAGAGACAAAAAGTATCAAAATAGACCCTAGCTAAGATAAATATACAAACAGGTGTTACCTAAACCACTTATCTAACTTTTATTTTTTAAAGATAATACACTTAAAAAAAATCATCGTCCCAGACGTTTTATGAAAAACAAAACCAAAAAAAAAAACTATCCATTATACCTGCTGCACTTAATATGATAAATACATACACTTTAGCATAAGCAATACAGTATAGGAAAAACTGAGCTCAAAGCTTTACAATATCTAAACAGGTGCAGAAAATTAAAACAGTAAAACAAAAAAATTATGTAGAAGAAGCTCTTGAGAGCTAAGCCAAGCCATAATATACAATAAAACACCAAGAATTTTGTAAAGTAACTTAAGTGTAATGAGTGTTTGCTAACTCCATCAAAGGATGTCAGTTAATTCTACATCTTAGAAAACATACAGGTGTACCTTAAAGCACAAATTGAAGTTCATTTTTGCAAATGCAGCAGTTACCTTTCGAGTAGTGTGTGCAGATTTGAGTCACGTCCATTAAAACTTAAAACTCTTTTAAAATGTAGATTTGTCCCCCTCCCACCCAACACGAGCACGGTGGGCTGTGAGCTCTGCTTTACTCTTTGGATATCTTATTTCGTTCTGTAAAGACAATGTCCCTCTCCACTGCTGCACTGGAGAAAAGGTTGGGCACAACTGAGCAGAGAAGTCGCCACTCACGTCCCACTCAGTGTATAAGTCTAAAAAGTCCACTCACATTATCTGTGCTGGCAAACAAAAAAAAGCAATCTTTCAGTGATCTCTGATAAATTCCCCACAACATGATCCAATATGCAGAAACACCTCTTGAGTCTCAGGCTCTGGGAGTTTACACTGGTGCAATCATGGTTAATAGATCAGCTTGGGAAGGAAATTTAAAGCTATGCTGCGACCCCTCAATGCCAGACAGCTTTGTTAGCAACGGCAATCGCAATACTCGCCATTCACTACAAGCACTGCTTACAATAAGATGTAGCTTTGCATGTGGAAAAGAGCTACAAGAGATTCAAGGGGTTGACTCTCCAGCTTCAAAAACATTAAAACACTTTTCTCATCTCAACTTAATAATCTGACATTATTCTTAGGCATGAAAAAATACAACATTAGAGAAAAAAGGAACAGGGAGGAATTATGATATTGTCTTTTAAACTGTACATGCATTAATATGCATATATGACTGTGTGTATGGAGGTCAAATTAATTTATATATATGCATTTACAGTTTAAATCAAAGACCTCAATCATAAAATATTCATCTAAAATAGCCGGCGAGTCAAACTCCTGTAACAAGGAGCTGAGACTGTCCACATACTTGTTAAACAATGGGGTTGATGGCTCTGTTGAGCCTGCTCAGTAATTGGCTCATTTGAATTGCTCTTATTGGCTTAAAGCGAACCTGTCTTCACTGTGGCACTCTAATTAGAGAACGCAATTAAGCTTCAACATAAAGGATCCGTTTATAGAGGATATGCTAATAGATCACTTAAAGATGGTGAATATGTATTCTGAGAAGACCTTTTAAATATGTTGACCTCTTACATTTTGCTCTTTGTAGAACTCCATTTTTTTCTGCTCTTGTTTTGGAGAGGTAGTCATTTTTCACAATGAGATACAATATGGTTTTATTGTTCGTGCCAGTGAACTTTCAGTATGGATTCATTGCAAGTGTGCATTTTTGCAAAATACAAATCCCTATGCTTGCTGCATTGCAACTGTAAACTGTGTTTTGGTTTTTTTTTTGGAAAAAATAGGAGTAATAAAAGTTAAAGAAATAATAGTGTAGATGTGGACAGTCAGGCTCAAATATTTTGCATTTTGCTCTGAGAAAATGTTTCAAAAGAGGTAGTGCTTTTGTATCTTTTGTTATTTTTGGATTATGTCTTTAACTGAATACATGGTCAGAGGTGAACTTTCTAAAAGTAAATTCATTTTTTTAAAGATTACTTTATCGTCTGAAAAAGCACAAGGCAAACTATTGCTTTAAAACAACCTACTGAAATCAATAAAACTACAATTATTTTTCTGAACTCTACAGCAATCAGAAACTGTCTCATCCTCTGTGTAATACACAAACACTGAATTTGCTTTGGGGTTCTCTGAGCAGATTTGTATACCAGCCTCTCTGTATTTATACTGTATAAACACACACATTTGATATATGTGTAAAATGCCAGTGTACTTTCCATCTAAATATTTTTGAATAAAAAAAAAGAATTGTTAGGATTCTAATGCAATTTTAGAAATCATAAAATTTAAGCAATACAATTAAAAAAACAATTGAGTAACAATTTCCACAAAATAATTTTTAATCCACTTTTTTGGTGGATTATATGGGTGAACTGCTTGCTTGCTCATTTCGAAAGAATGATGGGCTTTTCAGGTGACAGAACACATATCCCTGTGTAATAATTCCACAGATTTATTTTCTCTAGGACTGATTATAGGCATCATTTGACTTGCTCACAGGAAAACAAGGACTTTCTCCTTGAAAATGAAAAGGAACAACTGTAACCACATTTCCAGGGAATGAAAAGCCAATTGAAATATGAATTTGCAAAGCTAAGAATGTTTTGATATGAACCAGATCTTAAAGCGAAAACATACAGCTACTTTCTTTTCTATTGCTTATCTGTGAAATATGCAACAAGGTATTATCAATTTGTTTTTGGATTGCATGCTATGGTAAACGAGGTATTTTTCACTACCAAAATAAAACAGATAATTGTTTCTTAGTCATCCTGAATCTAAATACTTAACCTAGTTTGGGTCAGTCAGAGGGTGGGGACCATATTTTTTGCTTGATATGTGTCTTGCGGAACACTTGAAACATCACAGGATTTCTTTTTACGAGTTTAATTTTCATTTTGGAAACCCCTCTTATTGACAGTGGTTGTATAATTCCAAAATTGTACAGTTAGAAGAAAACAAATTCATTTATCTAATAAGCTTTTGAACCAAAACTTGTCAACCAAGACTTAAGGAAAACATTTTATTTTACAGTACAAATGTCCCTCTGTCTTTTAATTGAACCACTTTAGACATAAAAAAACAACAATGACAAAACATACAAGTCAGCATGAAGGAAACAAGTAATATCTTGTATTCCTTTTTTGAGAAAAATGTATTATTTTAGTGTTTACAAGAAATTAAAAAAAAAAAACAGTTTCCACAGGGTATGATAAGTACAATGAATCCAATCAAAGGGAATCATGATACAAGACTGAGGCTAACAGAATGTACGAGCACGTGTGCTGTACTTCAGGACAAGTTCTCCCTCTCTGATTCAGTGAATGTGGATTTTTCTCATTTGGTATTTGCATGTTCAGTGTGCCGTGCAGGGAGAAACTGAAACATCACCGTCCACAACAACAGACTGTCCCCCTAGTCGCTACTGTCCCATCATCTTCAAGTGCCTTTAAAAGGGTTACATAAGACGGTGGAATACTTTCTCATGAGGCTTATAAAGCTTGTGTTTAAAACACTGTAGCCTGAGAAGGAAAAGGGTACAGCTCTTAATTAAGTGCTTTTGATTTCCCTTGAGGAACTGCAAGAGGTTTGTTAATACTGTTTAAAGTTTTTGGCCTTAGACCTTATCTACAGGGTATTCTTCCTTCTAGACAACTAATAATTTCAAGCTTTAAAGAAACCAAATTCTTTATCTTTTTCTTCCTTTACTTTTAAACTTTGGTTTGGAATGCTCTGTACTGTATGCATTGAAATAATAAAAAAAACAATTGTATTCTTTTGGCCAGTACGTTTAGAGAGACAAAAAGGTATTTAAAAGAATTATCAAAAACAAAAAAAAGTGTTTTTGGTTTTCTACATGTTTCTTTGGTAACCTGTAACACAAATAAAATGGGAAACAAAAAGAAAAACAGGAAAACACAACAAAAGAAAATTTGGTCTGGCACTGCAGGAAAGGTATGTTTTATGCTCATGGATGTTGCGTCCCCCTCCCAGATATAATGGTCAATTCACATCATGAATTGCAGATAGCTTTCTAATATATGTATAGAACCTTAAACTGCTACTGAGCATATTCACTATGTTGGCTGCCCACTTTAAAACTCCCTATATACTACACTTGACGCTGTTTAAGGTGAAATCTTCTAGGAATGAGGTATTGTGTGACTGAAGAAATGTATAAAAGCAACACTGTATTGTAGCTGACGTTTTAAAGAAATAAAAACTAGTACTGTCCAAATTAGGGATGCAGACCTTCATGTCTGTACAGAATATCTTTCCAAACTTTACCTGGGCTAAACTGCACACCACTGCTGAGGCTTCTGATCCAGAATGCAACAATTTGTAGTTAAAATCTCCAAACTGCAACAGTACAACAGTACTTAAGTTCTGACTGCAAACGTTAGGGGTGCAACCTCAACATACAGACTTTTATATTTGGGCATCAGATTCCCAGTCCCTCGACATTAAGTGCTCTTTGGAACAAAGTACTTAAAATATCATAACCATATAATGAACAACCCCAGGGAAAAAACCCAGAAGACAGAAAATAAAAGAAGAGACCAGCTGATTTTTTTTGTTTCCTCAAACTCAGGGGATGTTATTAGGTGGGGTAGGGGTAGGCTTTGGGAGTATTTTTCAAAAAACAATAATTGTTTACTGGAGACACCTAGTGTAGCAACTGTAAAACTGATTCCTTAAAAAAAGTGAGGAAAAATCCCTACCACGTACATTTGTTAGGAAACACCCACAGTACAGTCTTTTAATTTTGTCAAAAGTGACAGTTCCTCTGCATCCTGCGGACAGCAATCCAGCATTCCAATCCCCCGGTTGGACAGGACAGTTCATGCGACAGGCAGGATGAAGGAGGACAGTGGCGACGGTCCTTTACCTAGACGTCTTCCTTGTCTTTAGTCAAATCTCCTCACAACACAGCACTGCGACTTTTCCCATCCAGATCAGAAATCCAGGCAGAGACCAACCGGAAAGTGGGGGCCTTTGCAGAAGTGAGCAGATCGTTTCTAAATATGGGTTTAATGCTGCTCCCCCCAAAAAACAGAATAAAAAATTAGGGTTACCCTCCACCAGTCCAGTCCGACAACAAATAGCACCAACACCAGCCGTTATGGAAGTTAGCACAGACTTCTTAAAGAGTTTTTCTCCCACTGGCTGTCTGGAGCTCTCCTTTTCATGAAAAAATTGTCAGTGAACAAGGTTGTATCTCCACACAAATGCCACCTGTCTCTGCGTCTCTCAAAAAAAACTTGAATTAACACTTCACTGGGTAAACTGGTGTCTGGAAACTGACAAGTTATTTTGTTTGGAACAGATGTCTGAGGTAATGTTTTAAAAATCGTGCCACCTCCACCCATCTCCCCACAAAACAAAGCTATATTTCAGCCACAAAAAATAACAAGAAAGGTACCTCCAAAACTTGTAAAAAGTATGCGTGTGTATGTTTGTATTTCTGTATATGCCCACACATATACTCATACTGCTCGTGGGGCGGGAAAAACCTAAGACCAATAAACACTAAGACTGAAACGTGACAACTGATCCCAGGCACAAAGCCGGTGCTGCCGATGATAGGGAGCATATATCCTCTGTGTCGAATAAAGGTCGCTGGATAAGAACCAATATTTAGCGTTGACGAGAAAAAAAGATAAAGCTGAAAAAATATAAAAACAAAAACAATAAAACAATGATGTTTTGTAAAGTCTATGAGCCTTGCATGGTGATCTGAAATGCCCCAGTACGGTGGCTGAAGTTTATGAGCAAAAGTGAGCCCCGACCCTGTTTGTAATTTTCTGTTTTTTTTTTCTTCTACTTTACAATGTGAGGAAGAGCTGCTCCACTGACCCTCTTCTCTCAGCCCTCTACTCCAACTCTTCGGCAGGAATCTCCTCCTCCAGTTCCCGCTCGTCGCCTGGCAACGCCAGGTTCTGGGAAACTGTTGCCATGAGCGATACGGGCCTGTTGTCCTCCTCCAGCTCTGCTGGCTCCTCCTTGACATGGACCTGGTGCCTGGAGGGAATTGAGATAAAACTGAGAATCTGGGCTGAACAGAAGAAACCACTGCAGGGTAATCTAACCTGTCTGCACAACACTTTGCAATAAATGGTTTCCCACAAACATAACACCACTGTTACCGTCCTGCTGAAGGGAGAAGGGTTTGGGCTCTTACCCATCCTGCTGAGGGAGAGGGGTTTGGGCTCTTACCCACACTGCTAAGGGGAGAGGGGTTTGGGCTCTTACCCACACTGCTAAGGGGAGGGGTTTGGGTTCTTACCCACACTGCTGAGGGGAGAGGGGTTTGGGCTCTTACCCACACTGCTGAAGGGAGAGGGGTTTGGGCTCTTACCCGTACTGCTGAGGGGAGAGGCCAGGGCTGCAGCTGCCATTGCTGTTGACCTGCTCCACCGTGCTGCTGACGTCATCATGGCCCACGTGCATCATGTTCATACTGGCGCCAGTGGAGGTGTTCACCAGGGTTGGGCTGTTCAGAAGAGGCAGACTGCTCTCTGCCAGGGCCGCCTAGAGGTAGGAAATATTCATATACATCAAAGAATGAGTTAAATATCATTCCCTCTCCCCCTTTTAAAAAAAATATCATGACAAATTTGTTTTCTTTTTATACACCTTTAAGCTTTGGAACTGGTCATTGTTGATCACCTCCAAACAGAGGGTGAAGAATCCACTAGTGCTTAAATGCCCATAGAGGAATGATGCAGCTCTCACTCACAACACCACAAAGCTCACAGTTGCCTGATAAGTCAACAGGGGGCACTGTTGCACAGCAAACCAGGATACCCTGGCCGAGCGGTGGTGTGGTACTGTTTGGAGAAATCCTGGGTGTTCCTTATTTCCCACTTTCTACATGATTTTGCTCCTCCTTCTGCTCGTAATCAAAGGGTTTCTAGGAGACCCAGCTATTGCTGCAACAGCTACCTTTAAAGGCGTTGTCAGATCTGTTAACGGTGGGCCATGCCTTAAAATGTAGAAGGTGTGTGCTTTCTGTGTAATTTTCAATCATTACAGCTTCTCCTTTGAAGTCCTATAAGTCAGGAAAACTCAATAGCACAGCAGCTGAAAGGCTCATGGCAATTCTCTCTCTGCAAATGAAGTGCAGGGATTTACTAAGGTGAAAGGTCAATCCTAGCAGAAGCAATCTTTGCAGGAATATTTTAATCCAAAAAGACACTACAGCAGAGAATTGCACACCACACTCAAAGGAGCAAACTGTACAATGTAGAACTAACACTGCAATAAAGAGAAACCTAAAGACCAGCGTCTTTACCATCATATGGAGCTAGCTGACATGCATGAGAGCTGTCTCCCAGTGTGAGTGCTGGGCTGCTAGTGCAGAGCATCAAGAGCTCAGCAATTGCAACCTGAATGCCAAAATGTCTAAACACATCTGGCTGAACACATTCTAACCCCAGAACATTTTGTCAGATCAGAGCAGGCCTGAATCACAGCAGACTCTCCCGATTCTGCATTTTAAGTATTTAACAACATATTAATTCAGAGAGCATTACCCCTTGCCATGTCCTATGTGTAACTCATAAAACAAAGGGGAGAAGCAGAGGAAGATTTGGAGATCAGCCACCCCAAGATTAAAGTGCAATGTTTAGAAGAACATCTGGACAGATAGTTTGCTCACACCCATCACTGATACACTAAGTGTTTGAAAGTTTAATTGAGCCTGGCTATAGGTCAAGTATGTAACTACAGTGCCAATTTAGGTACATTTGCTCTTGGAATGAATTCTAAGGGTCATGGACTGGATCTATAAGCTCTGGACTTTTGAGTTTGGTTCCATGATCCAGAGGATAACAGCATTTAACAGCTAGCTTGTAAATTATATCAGCAGCACTATTAGTTGAAACATTTGAAGTCAACAATGGTTAATCTGGTTTTCAGCACATTTACATACAACCGCTAACTTTAGTTCCAGCAGCCATTGTGCTAGCAGTGTGTTCTGAGAGGAGAGAACGTGTGTGTGTTGCTGCTGAAGCCTTCTCTCCACTAGGTGTCCCCTCTTCACAGCAATAAAGCTGTTGGAATAGCCAGTGCACTCGGAGACATGTGAGGAAGCTCAGAATCAAAGAAATCCTGTTTTTCATGTTTTTTTTTAAAGCTTCTTTTTGGGATTACGTATCTCGACAGAATCAGGAACAATTATGCTTGAAGTTATTTTTTTCTCCTTATGCAAATTATGCAAAATAAGTTCCAACTGTAAAAAAGTTTGGTCTTGTTCTCGTAAGGTTTAGAAACCCGAGAAAATTTTCCAAACATTAATCTACGGTACTATAATACCACACAAAATGCACAGAATATATCTTACATGAGTCTGAAAACAGACTGTGCAATAGAAAATTGCTCTATATTTTCTTGATAAAGTTTATTTTGAGGAATTAAGAGGAAAAATTCAGACAAGACAGAAAATGAAAGGAAACGGGGCTGGACTGTTCTCACTTCTTTAAATAAAAGCAGACTAGAGCATTTTTATGTGCAATTCATGCCAACTTAAACCGTAATACACACAAAAATGTCAGGAGTAACCCTCCACCTATCCAGCCCAAAAGTTAAAAGTCTGTCAACTGAAAATCCTGCTTCAAAAGACCGATGTGTTATTTCACATGTTTCTGGAAGCTGGGGTGGAGCTGAATCAGTAAAATATTTCACAAACATTAGTACCTAATTGCAGCAGCTGTGTGAAAATCTTAAAAATAATAAAGTACATGCAGTGTGCTACTAAAAATTTAAAGATTGTTGGATTTACAAAAAAAATAAAAAAGGAACGTGGAATTTTGTAAAGAATGTATTGGTTACATTTCCAAGGCTTTCTGGGCTATGCTATTATCTTAATTACTCAGTGAGGAATTATCATTACTATTCTTTACTGTCTACGCATTCCTCAGCTTTTCCAGTTTCCCCATTATCGTTAGATAAAAAAACACTTTGTGCCTACAGAAAACCTTAACACATGAATTAAAACTATGGAATCTAATTTCTTTTCCCTGCAACTTCTTCATTCTTGGTTAATTAATTCCCTAGTTAACCTGAAGCTCAGCCAAGCAGACACCGCCAACACGTCATGTGCTTCACACCAATAAAATGTTGATATGCTTTACGTATCTCTTAGTAAACTTCCCACAATTTCATACTTCAATTTCAAATTATTCACTAATGGATCACAAAAATCCACACAATAAATATTCACAGTGCTATAAGTGCAGCTATTGTTGCTATTGATAGTGGTGATGGTATTAGAGTTCCTTTCTTTTGACTGTGTGACTCTGTAACAGAGCCTGTGATTCCCGCATGTTAAGCTCTACAGACAGCGAGGGTGAAGTATGAGCAGGAATAATGCCTTATTAATAGGTAGCTTAAGGCCTGTATTTTTTATTCATGATGGCATTTTAAAGAGGCTATAGGAAAATAAAAGGGCACATCGTCTTCACAGAGAACGCCCTTCTTGTAGCTGTCGAGTGCGGTTATTTATACGGTTTTATAAACGCCAACGCCACCTCTTTCAGCGGCCAAGTTGAAAAGCCCCGCGCTGTAGAAGCAAGGAGCCACCCTTTTGTACACACAGCGCAGATGCTCCGCAGTCAAGACAGGAGGCCAAGTTCAATCGCAGCACTAAAACTGCTCAGGCACCATTGTTGACATGCAAAGTCATTTTTATTCCTTTTTTCCTACAAGTTGTCTTTTGTGTTCCTGAAGGACGCCTTTGAACTATGGCAAATGCTGCCAGTTGCAGAGGTCACAGAGCAATGCCTTACAGTCTACTGCGTACGATGAACTCCCTGATGCTCTTGAGCTCTACTGGAGCTCAAGTCATTGAGTTCCAGTAAATAATTACCTGTATTGGCAGCACAACACGAGTGTTTCTGTGTCTGTAGATTGTAAGCGGCGTGGTGGACAACAAGGGTGGTCATATCAGGTCAAACTTTCCTTAATCAACTTTGCAGCAGTGTATCTTAACAAGATGGTTTAGGGAGCTAACAGGAACAACTTTCTAAAAACGAGAAAGGCTAGGTGACAAATGCTGAAAATAAACTGTTTTTTTCTTTTATATGGATCTGTAAAAAACGGTTGATAGCAACATGGCTTCAAAGGCATGAAATTAAATTCAGCCCTAAAAAAAAAATCTTCCATTGGTATTAGTTAAAATCTGAAAGCAAAAACTAATGTCGCTGTAAAATGGATTTTCCGGGACAGACACTAATCTCATGCTCTGACCTTAATTGACAAACACTTGATGCCATAAATCATCCCAAGCTGCTTTCGAATAGGTGGTGAGGGGGGATTGTCCTGCAATGTGCTAATTACAACAGGAAATTGATATTAGTTGCCCTTGGACTGCCGATCCCAGCCCACTGAAACATCACACCAACTCCTCCACCACACTCACCTGGTAACTGGCATTCAGCGATCCATAACCAAGGCCAGAAATCATATTCTTTACTAATGTTGGGCTTCTGAAAAAATCACAAAAACACAAGATACAGAGATTGGTTACTCAATTCTGATTAGTAAAAAATAATAAAACAAATTTAAAATGATTCAATGGCATTTAAGTTAAACAATAAGTTACTTCTGATCAAATCAAGCCACATCTGCAACAATTCCTGATCTCTTTCATCAGACCCCTAAGATAACCACATAACATCTGGAGTGTGCAATGGAACCAAACTGGGCACAGAATAAATTCTAAAATCCCACTATAAATGGTTCTTTTCAGATTTTTTAAACGATGAAAGCCTGGTCAATCATTAAACATATCGTTACATTTCTCTATGACTGCATCCATCATTACAGCATTCTGAGTTGGACAGACCAAGAGGGCTCCTGTGCTTTTCCGCAGCTCCACACCATATTCATAACCGTCAGGTACGACTGTGGGATTCTGGCCAGAGTTTGTTTCTGCTGCTAAGCGTCTCTGCTGGCTGGGGAAATGTGCACTCCATTAAAGATGGCCATGTTCCTTTAAAGTCAAGCGTTCTAATGCAAGGCTTTTTTAAATCTTAAGTCCCCTCAGGTGGACGGTTGAAGTGCCTACCCGGTCATCTTTGGTGGTCTCCTCTTTTGGTATTCGACTTCATCCACTGTCCACACGGCTCCCTTTACGTTCTCTACTCTCACAAAGCACTTGTGCAGACTCAGGTTATGGCGCACAGCATTCTGCAGGATGCCAAACAGGTCAGGGGCGGGAGAAAAGAGAGAGGAAGAGACAGAGAAGAGGTCACTGAACAAATGTAAAAACAGTTGACTTCAGACTCCTACAACTCCTTGTGTATCTAGAGGTTCCAGTTCTAATGGAATGACCAAGGGCTTAATCTACTGTTCTGAACTCAGCTCCTGGTGACTTCAGAGTGTGAAATACACTGCTAATGAGAGGTCATAGTCATACTTCTCTCTTCCAGTTACCAGTGTAGTAATTGGTAAAACATTTGGTAACAATCTCACAAAATCATTGTATTTGCCAGACTAGCTCTGTTAAAGAAACTCCACCTTGGACAAAGATACTAGATCAGGGTGGTCTAATCCACTCTTGAAAAGCCAGAGTTTCTACAGGCCCTTGTCTCCCCAGTTGTCTAACCACAGTTAGAGCAGCAGCACCTGAAGAGCTGGGAGATTTTAGGTAAATCAGCCTCATTAAGTCAATAACCAGCTGATTTATCTAGCCAAGAACTGAGACAAAGTGAAGACCTACAGACATGTAGGCCCACATTCAGAAGTTATCAAAAGTGATCAAACAGAAATTCCCAGCAGATGGAAATAAATAAGAAATTATTCTGAAATATGTTCTACAGGGCTACAGGGCTACAGGGCTCCATCCATCCATCTTCTAGCTGCTTCTTTCAATTCAGGATGCAGGGGGAGACAGACCCTATTTCAGCAAGCAATGGGTGCAAAGCAGGAAATACCTTGGACGGGTGTTAGTCCTCACTTTCCTTACATTCTTTATACATATAAAAGCTTTTCGATGCATGTCAGTGTTTTATTGCCAGTATTTCCCACTGCGCTGATGCTACACCGATGCAAACAGCGAGAAGCTGGAGGGCACTGGGAGACAGTGGGTACTAGGACACAGAAAATAGGTGCCATCTCTGATGCTAAAATACAAAGATGTTACCCCCCCACACACATGAACACACTCCCACCCCCCCTTTTAAATTTCACTAATCAGCCACTATCTAGAATAACACCCCCAAGGGAGGCACATTCCTTTTCATCTGCTATTTGTAGTTTGTTCATGCCCAATTTCATTACCAATTTTAATTCGTGTATAATTAAATCCTGTGTATTTTTTCTGACACGCTTTTTTAATCCATAAGGGAGAAATGCTGAGGCTGGAATCACTCCTAACCATAATTACAAGTGCCATAATCAGACTAGGCCTCCCTTCTTTGAATAAATTTCCTCACGCAGAAGCGATGATGCTTAGTTTTGCAAATTAGTATGACCCCAATTTCAGACAGCCACCTCGCGAGTTTTATTTGCATTCCCATTCGTGATGAAAGACTAATTCTCCCAGTTAAAACATTAGCAGCAATTTAAAGGGGGTCAGACACTGCAGACATAAACAAAATGCCTCAACCGCCCAAGAATAGAAGGGGGAAAAAACGCGTTTAAGAGGTTTGAAAAAAACAGTCACTGCGCACAATGCTGACATCTCTCTGTTACTTGAGAATCAAACCCATTATACCTATTGAACACCTAAATAAATGTTCTCCATCACCCTCATCAATAAAACTGGATTATAAATAGTTTTTATATTGCAAGTCTAGTCTAGTTGATACAGTGTATCATTGCCGGTACTATCTATAAAAATGTTGTCAAGCAACTGATTCACAGTCTTCCTCTTAAGTTATGTTGGACAAACCAATCATTCATGCAGCTTCGAGAACAATTCATTTGTCAGTGACTTAATACCTTAACTACATCTTCAGAACGGGTTTTCACTAGACACAAACAAACAACCAAGTATTAAGATATAGGCGGACTACTGTGATAAAAAGTCTTTGAAAGGGAAACGGAGGTTGATCTTACAGGTACTCCAGAGTCGAACACAATAACATATAATATTGTATGTCTAAACAGTTGAGAGCCCTTGATGTTAGTGCCAGTGTATGTGAGCATACTTCAAGACAAGAAGGAAGGACATTCATATTTCCATCTGCAGGTAGCACTAGAAAACAGCAGGGAATTAAAAGTATATATATGATGTATTTTTAAATCTAGCCCTTTAATCAGTCTACTCTCTGAGGTACAGGAGGTGTAAGAAATGTAGATGCTGTTAAGCCAGTTACGTCTTTTTAATATTTAATACAGGGCTGAGCGATGAAAACGACTCTGCAAGAGAAAAAAAGATTCTGTCCTCCTGGAACGAAATGGCGAGTCCATTAATTGTTAAGTTTCATAAATGTGAAATGAGTTGTTAAAGATATCCCGCTCGCCCCCCCTCACCCCCCAGCCTGGCTCTGCCTATCCACCTGCTGGTTCGAGGCCATTAAGCCACAATAGTGTCAGACTCACCTCCCATCTCTCCGTTTCCTAATTCCCTTTCCTCTCCCAGGGACAAGTCACACAAATTAGTGGGAATTTTCCCTAGAACTGGGTCAGCACCTGCAAAGTCCAGGCTGGAATGTGTGAATTTTTAATGAGACCCAATAACTGCAGCCTTCTACAGCAAAGCAGGGCCTTTGCCACATGTCAAGTCCAGGAGCGCACTCAGGTCAAACAAAGGAGCCACTGAGAAAAGCAGATCTAGCTAAATACCAGTATAACATTTGGTATGGAAGACAAATTCAGATTCTTTCTGCTTTACAATGATCTTGGAAAATATTATTTCTGTATTGTGTGTTGTCCGATCTACTGCAGATACAAACAAATCGTCTGCAGGACATAGATTTGTTAGATTACATCTAGGGTTTCATGTTAATGCTGGCTATAAGCGTGTTGCTTGTCTGAATCTCTTTATCTATGGGCCTTAAGGAGAGAGGTCTGGATAATTCAATATAATTTTTCAGGCTTTGAGCACAAATGTAAAAAATCTGAATTCAGACTGGATGGAGAATGACCTCTAGTACTATGCATGGTATATTCCTCGAGTAGTACTGTGAAGACATGTAGTCTTAGACATGCAAAAGTAACAACACAAGTTACGATTTTTCTTTCGATTTCCTAAACAGACATGACCTTGCAAAGGAAAAGGCAGCGCTGTACTGGGTATAAAATCCCCCGACCCTTTTGGAATTTCTGTCTGGGGTTGTAACTCAAACTCTTGTTAGCCTGCAGCCTAATTTCCTTGAAGTATTTGCTGGTACTATGAAGAACCCTGCAGAGATTGATGGCATATGCCTCCAAGTGATTCTCAAACTGAGACAAGATCAAAACAGCCAAACAGGTAGGCGTGTCTAGGGCTGCCCGCCTACTTTGCCATGGGGTGTTGCTCAGTTGCTCAGGAGCTCAGCGTTCTCCCAGGCCTTGGTCTGCTCTCGGGCACACAAACCTCTCCGCAGCCCCCGGCCCCGATCGCACGCGCAGATAGAGCGATCTCCCGAGCCCGAGAACTGCACATTAATCAACGTCTTCAAATTAAACGGGGAGATAAGGAATTATTATTATTCTTATGGTGAACTTATGTAATGCTCCTGCTGTCAGATTAAAAGAGGTGGGGGGGAGCACAAAATAAACAGGTATTAGCAGTGCCTGTGCTCAGCTCCTGTCACTGGGCACAAGCACAATGAATTCTCCTCACTTCTGCAGAAAATGAAATGCAAAGCAGCTGAGTGCTGGTGTTTTTGTGCATATCCAAGACATCGAAAAGGCGACAGACTAATGGTACCTGACAGCAGTTTAGCACTGCGTGGGCATGCCCTGTGCCAGCTTTCCCCCTGCGCTACACCCGAGAGCTGAGAAGGGGACTGAGAGATCTCTAAAAGTGTGACACAAAGTCCCAAATTCAAATGCAGTCCTCCACTGCTACAGCCAATAAAAATGACATCCATCCAAATTTCTTTTTTTTCCCTATATGCAAACTTAACTGGCATTTTTTGGCAATGTTGCTGCTACAGTGCACAATATTTTTTTAAGGATTTAGCGTTTTTCTCTTCCACCGAACTGGTTTTCCCAAAAAACCTTAAGCTCGCAAGCGCCAGTTAAGTTGAGCACGCCTCCAAAACAAACTCCCAGCATCCGACTGTAAAATGTGTTTTTCCACACAACGAGCATGGCGGAGCCAAATGCGACGAGGGACAAAGAGGGACTGCTGGCAGCGGATGACACAGGGTTCTGTTTTTACAACCAAACAAAACAACAGAGCCCAAAGGGAGGGGCAGCTTTGCGGCTGTCTCAACACGCTCATGCCTCGTTTCAGGCCAGAAAGGGGAGCCGACTGGAGAGCAGCCTGTTTAATTTACCTGGAGCCAGCACGTCCATTAATCACCTTCCTAACTTTATGTAGAAATATCCTGCTGAAAGCCTTCCATGGTAAATTTGCACCACATTGTAACAGTTTTTCATGTCTTTGCCATGTTCAACCTCTGTATGGTTTATTCTGCTTTTACTATGACTGTGCTTTGTGCCTTACTAATCCTTACTCTAATTATCATATACCTCAATGTGCATTTAGAAATGGATACACATTTGCATGCTACATTGCCTTGTGCACTGTCAGACCACAACATGATGATTTATCTTTTTCGCAAGTAGTCCAAGTGAATACTGCTTTAATGATCTTTTTTCAGCAAAGCATATATTGACTTTAAATAATGACAGATGAAAGCAGAGATTTGGAAGCTAGGCTGAAGCAGTGATAGCACTACGATCGTATGACAATATGAGTCTTTAAACTTTGATGAAAGAATCTAGACTTAGGTCAGAAAAGATTTTTTCACAGTTTTGTTGGTCAATCCTTAGTCTTAGCTCAGACCAGAGGACGTCTGCCAGGGGCTCAGTTCAATCAAAGTCCCGAACCTCCTGACAGAGTCAAAGGGAGAGCAGCCGTTGTTTGAATTTCTTGACCAGAGTGTGAACATCTTACAGCCCTATCTTACCTTCCATGTAGCTGTGTTTCTCCTGAAGTAGGCGAACATTCGTGTAAACCAGTTGTAAATTTCATTGAGGGTTAACTGCCTGTCTGGGGCTTCCAATATAGCCTGAAAGAGAGCAAGAGCAGGAATGAACAATCTGGCACCTCAGTTTTTCTAAAAAAATAAAAATTATTCTAAGAAGAAAAATTATATTCTAATTAGGGAGCTATATAAGATCATTCAAATTTGCTTTTTTTCAGAAACAAATGTATTGAACTTAGTTTTGATGAAGGAGTCTTCTTATCAATCCAGCAAGCAGGAGCATAACTCATACACACAGGGTGCAAGGCAGGGCTTAGAGCCAGCGACTGCTCTCCTCACTCCAAATGGGACGCCAGCCCGTTGCAGGGCCATGCAGAAACAGGGGATTTATTTTAGCCACACCTAGCCAGCTCGCCTCTGGAGGTCAGGGGGATCCAGCAGCACAAACCCATGCAAATGTAGGCAGAGCATGTATACTCCACACAGACATCTGAGGCCAGAATCAAACTCAGGAATATGGAGCTGTAGGACAGCAGTGTGAACTGTCGCTCCTCTCATGTAAAAAAGAAAGATGCTTCTAACTCATAAGTCAACTGAACAAGATGAGGATGTGCACATAGCAGAATAATTATGTCACTGACATTAGGATTACCTGTTCAGGTAACTGGGGGCTAACTAGGGGTTAACTATACCCAACACCTCAAAAGTTATAGAATATCTACACCTTTTTCCTTAACCAGATATCAACTGAAAATCAAGCTCTTTAAAAACACCAGACAAAAAAAAGGAAAACAGCTTCCTTACATGTCGTATGAGCGAGGCATAGGTGAAGGGAGGTCTGACATCAGCGTTTTTGTAGAATTCATGATTCTGTGCAAGCTCTGTGGAAAAAAATACAGAACTTCCTTTTCCTTCCTTCATTTGCGATTTTCATTGTAAAATGTATTGCTTTTTTTATTCCAGGCCTGGCTGGACAGGAAAGCTCTTGAATCTCCTGGAGTGCAACTGGACTCACATCTGGGCTGTCCTGGAGTAGAACACATCTGAGCACAGCCTACACTTCCTTCATAATTATCATATCTGCCTTCTATATGCATTTGCTTTTGGGATTAAAAACACAATCTCCCAAAGTATCACCATGTATTTATGCAGAATAATCTAATGTACAGTATGGTCAAATGTAATGTTTTTCTTTAGAGTTGCTCCTGTTGCATTCAGTAAGACCAGATGTGTTATTGATTTAGAAGAGATCTTTCAGGCTGAAGTTACCTTACTGTTCCTATATTAGGATGTCCCTACTAAAGCAAATTAATAGTTCAGTAAGCGTTTGGCACAAAAAATAACTGCAGGTTAGAGAACCATTTTGCACAGAGACTGAAGTGCTTCCTGTGCAGCACTTGTTGGGTGCAGCATCAGAGTCAACAGAGGTATGCTGTGCTGGTTACACTGTCAAGAGTGTGATACTCTGCAATATTCTCTCAGTGTCAGAGAATAAGCACTGTGTAGAACTCTGTGTGCATGGTTCATGCTGTGTGCAGTACCAGAGTTTGTATTTTGTGCTGTACTCTCACTGTGAGTGTGTATGCTGTGTTAGTGTGTGTTCAGAGTGTACTGTGTCAGTGTGCATACTACATGCTGTACCTTATTGTATAACAGAGTGTTCTACGCTGTTCTGTCAGCTACTCTTTTGCACACTGTACACCATTAGCTTATGGACTGTGCTGTACCTGTGTGCACATTGTGTTAGCATGCTCTCTGGTCTGCATTGTTTTAGTGCGTGTGTATTGCACTCTGTATACTTGTATGCTGTGTCCTCTATGTCTATACATCTGTGCCCAGAACCATACCTGAAGCGATGGGGGTGCAGAATTTGTCGGAGTTCCGGCGGCGGATGGGTCCCCCCACGCTATGCAGGCTGGAGGAGCTGATGACAGATGGTCCCTGGCGCAGAGGGGTGATAGGGGCAGTGGCTGAGGTGGGGGGGTGAGGTAAGCCCTCTGGGAACGTGTCGCTCTCCCTCTTCAACAGAGAAGCGCTAGAGGCCAGATTGAGCTGCAGGCACAGGAGAAAGCATAACAATTACCAATATGTATGACAACGATAATAGAAACATTGACCTGATCACAACTTTAGCACATCCAATGTATTCTCAGCAACCGCTTTATCCATAGAGGGTCACAGAGAGCCAGAGCCTATCCCAGAAGGATAGGGATAAGGCACAAGACGGGATTACACCCTGGACAAGACATTAGCCTAACAGCCCAATCGAGGGCACACACACGAATGGTCTTGCATGCAGGGGGCAATTTAGACACACCTGAACAGCAGGAGTGTAGCAGGAAAGCAGTGCACTTGGAGAAAACTTGCACAAAAAACAAAGAACATGCAAACTCCACATTGAAGGCACAGAATCTAACCCACGACTCCAGAGCCGTGAGGCAGCAGCACTTACCACCAACACCACCAACCTCTGCACATTTACCAATAACAAAGCCAGAACATAATGGAAGCTTTTGTGAACTAGAGGTTTTCATACCTTTATGATTAAGCTTTACACTTGTAGCTTGGCCGGTAGGTCACAGATTGGGTTTAACCTGGTCCTACATTCATCACATCATTGTGACACATACTGTTATGACACAGCAAAAGTGATCAAGATAGCTGGCCTGCTATCAGTAGGTTAAAGATGCCTAGGGTTATTTTATTTATTCAACCATTTCCAAATACCTTTCACCTACTGTGTGAGCACTCTCTGCAGCTACACAGAGCAGAGTTCTTAATATCCACGTACACAACATGCAGAAAGCAGTTTACAAGGAGCGCAAACAAGAAAGCCTTGTGTGAAGCATAACAATAATTAGACAAAATAAAAAAAAACACAAAAATGAGCTTCGTTAACAACAGAGCACATTACCGAACAATCAGTAACAGTATCTCTCTCTAACTGCAGATCAGTTCTGCCCAATTAGGTGTAGCTGAAAACGACTGGAAACCAGTCTCTGGCCGCGCCAAGTCTCCGCGGGAGTTTCTTTTCAAGGCTGCTTGTTTTGCTATAATTAAAATCATGATGTGCACGTGCTGTGGGAGAGGAGAGCAAATGGAAAACTAATACAATAAATTAACTTGGCTACCCCTTCCGCCGACAGCACTGAAAACCAGGACCATCTTGAGTAATTAGGGGGGCAAAATTGTTTAACAGGTACTTAATTAACACTGGATCGGTGCCAGTTTTGCTGCAACTCAGACCATCTTAATTGAGGGCAATCTTTGTTTTGTTGGCTCCTCTTGGGTCCCCAATGCTGCTCTGAACCTCTTCTGCAGATGCCAGAGGCAGTTTCTGATTTCCCATTAGGTGCTAATGGCAGCTCATCCACTAAATTTGTCTCCCAAACAGAAGTCGTCCTACTTTTCTTGCCACGGTACAATACAATTTATATCCCCTCGAATTAAGACACTCCATTTCTAATTGACAATTAATTTCAATGTCTTCATATTTTAATAAGACTCCTCATCAATCTTGCCATGAAATATTCATTAGATACCTAGTAATTGCATTGCACCGGGTGTTATAGATGAATTTTCATTCATGAACAGGGCATTGCCTGTGATAACTGAAACATAAGTGGCTGAGACCTTTCCCCTGTAATGTTCACAATATTTTTCTGTGCATTTTAGACAAAAGGCCAATATGGACAAAAACGATTTACACATTACATTAAATTGTATTTATAAGCCCCTGATTGCTAATGTTTACAAAGTGCAATGCAATGAAAACGTGGTAGGAACACAGGCCAGCATGGAGAGGTATGTGACTGCGTGATACTAATCAGGAAAGCACAAGAAACATTTTCATTCAGGTTCAGCAAAGAGAAAAGTGTGAAAATATCATGAAAACTTCTAAAGTAATCACATTTCAATATTTCAGAATTCCACCGTATTTCTTTCAGTTTTTAAAACAATCATTTTTAAAAGCATTGTATTCTTGCATTGGACTAAAACATTTTTCAAAGGTTCTTTTAGAGTTTAAGGCTCTCTAATAGACATTCCATCACATTTCCTCTGTATGGAGGAAACAGTGGCACAGAAACAGAAAACAGCGGAGTCACAGCCATTTAATGGTGAAAGCTGTGTTGCTTTGACACAAAGGCTGCATCATCCTGCTGGACAGAACTGGGCATACAAAGTGCTTTAAGCTTTGGAGCTTCTGAATCCCTCATTGTATCCGAGTTGCTTGGTCAATCCTCTGATTTGGGCCAGCTGTTAGAGCTTTCCATCATGCAGGATAACATACGTCACTGGGAAAACTGGAATGTATGATCCACCTCAGAAAGACATTGCAGTATCATACACTCTCACACACAGTTCTTTAGTATCACATCACAAGAATCTCACAGAAACAAATGGGTAGCTGAATGGAAGCAAAATAGATCACATTGAAAAATTAAACTCAAATGTATGACTTAATGATGCTTTGACACTTAGAATGCACCTCCTTGAAAGAATCAACAGAATGTAATGTATCATTTAAGAAAAAAGGCTGGTAATACTCACAGGCTGGTTAAAGGGCTTCGGCTCTGAGGGCCTCATGTGCAGATGTGTCATCATGGCCTGAAGTCTTTCGCTCTCCTTGGCTAGCTGCAGAGACAACACAGCACACTGAGTGAGCCTGAGCACACCAGGACTGGCCAGGAGGGAGAGGGACCTGGGACAACCAACACACATTCCCAGAGTCCCACCACCCTTTCTCTGAAGAAGTTCTATCTGTACTTCCTCAAGTTTTACCCGGCTTACATATCACTACTGGTGCTTCAGAGGTGCACTGAGTTGACTTTAGTAGTACATTTGAGGATTTTGAAAATAAGAATCAGGCTTTCTTGTACTCAACTCCGTTTGAGACTTTTAAAAGAGCTTCAGTACTTTTAATTGTCAGTTTAATACATTCATTCAAACCTGAGAAGGGCTCAATCTCCTTCAGTTTGAAAAGGATACAGAGGATGAGTTAATCCTGTTTTTTGTAAAAGAGCATGGTCAGATATTTACGAACCATCAAAACTGTGCAGATTTAAATTTAAGTGTTCATCAGTGTAAACTATTGCCTTTGTGTGGCAAACAGACAAAAGGTAAGGTGCAGTTTTTAAAGATGGGTGGACATTGAAAGACTGTGAGTCTTAATTCTTTTCATTTCCCTAACTCTAAAACCTGTTTTTCTTCATGCAAGCAGGACATTAAGGTACCTTTTTGAAGGTGCTGAGGAGTGTGCTGGGCTGTTTTGTTTTGCTGGTATAATTAAATGCTTGTACTGTCTGTGACCAGTAATAAAAAGTCAGCCCTTTGGTATCTTTCACACCACACTCCACAACAATACCAACATTACAGTACAGCATCTTCAAATTGAAACTAAATCTCACACACTTAGCGAAATGAAAGCGTGCCTACAGCAATAGTTGCTCATGTTTGACATTTCAAACTGCTATAAGTGGCAGACAAGCCATTCCTGTCGCTGCAGCAAACAAACTGCACCCAGGAAAACGAAACCGTTTAGGTACTTTACAGAAATGCTTTCAAAAGCTGAACCCCACTCTCCACCACTCTCCAAAGCATCTATGGGCTGCACTAAAAAACTGCTTGATGTTTTCCATGTTGCTCTGAGCAGCGCCATAGGGATAAACAGTCCTGGAAAAGGAGCTACGAGCAGTGCTGAAAACACTGAGTCGCTTTTAGTGAAACCAATTAAAATGGTTTGGAGAGCCTTGAAGAGCGTGCTTTCTATTCTGAAATGAGATCGTTAACAGGTAAAGCATTTTTTAGTTTTTTTTAATAAAATACCTGTACAAACAGTATTTAATCATTGTTAATTGTTTAATAATTTTTTTAGATCTGGGCAAAATCCATGCAAGGGGACATTCTCAGTTTTCGAGCCTGTCGGTGCCTCATGCAGTGCCACGTTTCTTTATCTTCGGTATAGAGAAGGACTTGCATCAAAGCAGGTTTCTCCAACTGATTTCCTTTAAATTGCAAATTGTATGGTTGAAACACATATGGCATTCCTAACCATGTACCCAAGGACCTACAACTCCCCACCAGTGCTGGTTAGAATTACTGTGAGATAAAGAGTCCACAGTTCTCTTGCTGCTGTGGGAACAAAACCTAGATGGAGTCCTTCTGCACTGTTTCTGTCTCACAAACTGTCTTCTGAGATTCACATAAGCAACAGTCTTTCTCAGGCACTCCTGGCACACTCAAAACTGCAGTCACAAACTCCAGCATTTCATTACAGTGTCTGAATGCTAACAAGAGGCTACCTCCTCCAGCCAATACAAGGGCTACACTAACGATAGGAGATATCTTTCAACACACTAGAGGAGACATAAACAGCACCAAGAGCAGAAAGGCACAAAGATACAGATTAAATTTATGATGGCTGAAACTTCCTTGAGTTTTGATTCTACACCTCTTATTGAGCAATGTTTTCTCTGGGCTGTAAAAGTCTAAAGTTAACAACCTTACACAAACAGACAGGATGAAGTCCTTGAATATTGGATTAAATGTGCTGCTGCAGTTATTAACCCCTCCTTCCACATGAAATTCTGAAACAGTAGCTCTCAGTGCAATGGCTAAAGTCCTCACTGGCATAGAACTGAAATTACGAGATCATTCAGGCTGATTCTCTCCTATCAGTGTGCATTATTGGCTGGCGCTGGGACTTGTGTGGGACAGGGATGTTTAGCGCCATGATCTGTTTTGATGTTAGCTGCCTCACTGTCATTTTACATTTCTTGTGGTTTTTAAAACATTGTGTGCTTAAAATAGAGATGACTTTTCAGACCCACCTGAACTAGTTTATGTGGTTTTGCTTTGCTTTTTGAGCAAAAACACATGCTCAAGAAGTGGCCAATTAAGAGGCAGGACTGAGCAATTCTCTGGAGGGGAGGAGTGTGCTTAACTTTCAGAAAGGGGCGAGGAAACTGGAGAAGAATGATCAGTGCCCAAACAGGAACAAGCATGATCTTCACAAAGCAACACCTGACTTTCAAGTTGATTTCAATTCATATTTTTTTAATTGACAATTGTTGCACCCTTCAAATCGTAGTAAATCAATTTAACTTTAAGCTTTCTTTTGTTTCTACCCTTGTCCTTGTCCACACTAAACTTTTATGCTACAATTATAGTAACCTGTGGAAACAAACTTTTTCAAGTCGGGACAGTTTGCAATTCAGTGACTTTGGCCTTGTTTCAGCAAAGGTTCACAAGAAGATCTGTTTTTTACTGACTGTTTTTACAACTTTGAAGCATGAAAAGGAGCACACTGGTGAAGAAGAACGCATACAGGCTATGAACTATTATATTTACTGTAGGGAGTTCAGCTCTGTCTAAATCTGCAAGCCTTTATTGTAGGCGAGATCAAAGTGAAAAGTTAAGAATGACAAAAACTTTGAGAGCGAGAGCATGTAGCCCAGTAATGCCCTGCTATTGGGACCGAGAACACATTTCTGAAACTGCTCAAAGCACACAGGATATCTAATCTCCCCTAGAACAATTCAGGAGTTTCATCCTGCATCTGCTTATTTGAAGATTAAGGACAGCAGGTATCAGCCACCAAGGAGGAAACATGTGGTGCGCGGGTTGAGAAGCAGACATTGCTCAAGACAAAGAAGACAGAAAGAGACAGTGAAGAGAGAGAGAAAAAGGGAGTGAGGACAACAAGCGATTTCAGAGGTGGAAGGGTTAAGACACATCTGTCTGGTTTAGTGTGGTGAAGAACGACAGACCCAAGAAACGCACGCATCCCCCCGTCTCAGGTCTCATTAGAGATGACATCGCTTACACGTCTCCAACAGCACTTTCTGAGCCGGCACAGCGGGAGAGAGGCCCTGAAACCTTAATAATTGGTGCCCAGCCTATTTTTTCATGTTTTTTATTACAAGCTCCAGTAATTTCTATAAACTTCCAACTTTTATTGTGACAAATTGTGCAAAAAAAAACCTAAAAAGTACTAGCCCTTGTCTGCTGTTTATACTGGCGATGGACATCGCAAACAGCTCCTTCCAACCAGTCTTTGTTGTCTTCTCATAGCGGAAATACCAACAAATGATCTGATCCCTCCCCCCCCCAAATACCCCCCAGACCTCTTCTAGGAAACAAAGCACAAACCTCACCACGTCTCCTGGCTGTGATTTCAATGGAGACAATACCAGCTCGATGGTATGGAATGGTGACACTAGCTGAATTTTGTGATTATCAGATTAGGAGCAAAAAAGTCTCCATTCAAGACAACCTTCAGAGGATTAGTGAATGATGGTTTGCTGAAAGGATCTAAACAATTAAAACTTTTCAATCATGAGGAACAAGGAAATGACCGGGTTCCAGTTTTCCAGTTTAACATGACTAAGAACTGATTATTGCAGGTGTTTTTTTTTACTCAAAATCCTCACTCATTTACTTGGCTATCTCGGACTTGGCAGACAGGTGCGTCAGTTATCTGATATAACTACCCACATAACTGATATCTATGAGATTTTCTTTTTCTTAAAGTAACACCTGTAAAAAAATAAAAGCAATTGCAATGCTAAAGAAACAGACGAACAAGACTTCTCCCCATTTAGTTCTTTTTAGTAAAATACCAGTTCAAAATATTATCAAATTAAAATAAATAACTTCCAGCTTTCAATCACCTTAAAGAATGTTGAAATTAAAGTACCTACTTATTGCTTTCCAATTACACAGCCCTTAAAGTGCATAACTACATTTAAAAAAATAGGTAAACAAACATCACCATACATTTCTGTAGTTATATTTGATGGATTAGATAAATGAAAGATGGATGCAAATATGTAAAAAACAATGTTTACAATACTTAGACCCTCTTATTAGATTACAGGCGTAGTGACTCCAAGTGACAGTGTGATCATTCACATCTAAGAAAGATCCCCCTGGACTGCCCCACCCCCACTCCCACCCTGCTCCCAAGCCCCCAGGCGGGGAGTGTCTTGTGATCATAAGATGTTTTGCACCCACCTGGATTTCCAGCTGCTGGACAACCTGCATCTGGACCCTGCACTGGGCAGTGCTGCGGTCATCCAATGCATGTTCGCTGTTGAGGTGCCTGACAGGACAAGACAGAGACCCAAGGTGAGTAGGGAGTAAAGACACAAAGGCAGGCCGAGGAACCCCTGCAGCACAGAGCCACATGATGAGGGGCTCAGGTCTGCGCCATTACTGTCCATCTTTTAAAAAGCTGCTGCAGTGCCAGAACCCACACTAAGGATCAAAAAACTTTCTGGCACAAAATTCTTCTTGCAACCCGTCCAAAATACTCTGGATCTGCAATCTGCTTCTTAAAATAATCTAATCAAAATAAATAACTGTTTACTCTGTCTCCGTTTCTTTCACAGAACTCCAATCCAAACGGCAGCCATAGAAGTTCGTGATAGGCTGTTTTAAGAAAATATGCAGAGCACCACATTTTTTTCCATCAGTAGGAATAGTTTTTACAAGCTGTATAAAGTTTATTTTCTTCACCAAAGACATTTGTACATGAAAGGATAAGGGGTGAAAGGCACATGTATGCTTCTTATAAACCAGCTTATAAAACAAAGTCCTCATGTAATTCTGAGATCCTGTCCTGCAACAGTGTAAAGCAAGTTCACCCACTGGTCAAAATATTAGGAACCATCAAATGAACAGTGGTGGGGGATATATGGTTGGCTTGAGAAGAACAAAAGAGGCTTCCTAGTGAGAATATTGCCTGAATCAACTTGTGTGCAATATGTTTTGTAATGTGTTATAAATGTTATATGTTGTTTTGTGTTATACACGTGCAATAGAGGTTTTTTTTCTGGGGTGTGTGCATTATATTTAAATGTCCAGAAGTGCTGTGTGTCCACAAAAAAGTTCCCTGAAGGGACAATAAATCTTACCTACTTGTGCATCATAGGACATTTTAACGCACATGCAGATCCCAGATGGAGACACACAGCATCTCCACAATTTAAGAACTCAAATTAGAAAGCCTTTTTAATTTAAGCCAGGCACATGGCACAAGCCAGGATCTTTAAAAAAAAATCTTTGTCCTTAGCAAAGATAAATATTAAAGGCATCTTTGTGCAGAAAGGTTATGCCTTTAACCAAAATTCAAGCTTCCTCTTGAAGGGCACTGAGAACAAAGCCACAAAGATTTGTTTTGGCTTTTTATACAGACATTTCTCAAGCACAATGATCTGAATAACTTCTGGACATGATGTCATTCATTTGAAGTATTTATCTTAAAGACTTGCCAGCCTTAGAAACTTTTGATTTTTTCAGCCTGATTAAAAGGATGTAAAAAACTAGGCATACTGTACAAGTCAAATGTGGAGCAAGCTTCATTAGGTTAAATCGGAACTGTTGTTCCCTGCATTCAGGAAGGAGTGAAGACCTCCTGATCTTTCCCACTGAATCACTCCCACTCCTACTAATCATCAGTAGTTATTTACTTGTTGCCGCTGTCGCCTACCCTGGTCCCTTGGCTGTGAAAGCGACAGTGTGGTTTTCCTGGGAAAGGGCTTGGCTCCTTTCCTGCCTGCCTCATCTGCAGCTCTTCTGACCTCACTAGCAGTGATCTCACCCAGCAGCCCCCTTACGCACAAGACGATCGCGGGAGAGATTTCTCCCTGACTGGCTTCTGGTTCTATCTTTCATCTCTTCAGCCTGCCCTCTCCCACCCACACAAAAACGCAACACTCCATGGATCCCAAAACAAACCCGAAACCAGGCGTCAACGCCAAACGCATCCTGATTTCCATATTTGTCTCGACTTTTTTCAGTTTACTGTTGGCGAAAACCGAGCTTCATCGGAGGTCGGTGATGTCAGAGCTGGCCCCTAAGACATTTTTATGAATCTCAATTTTTTTGTTGCACTTTCTTTCAATCCCTTTCAAGGGAGGCGAGGTTGTATGGGTAAAAAGTGAGAGTGCCTTGCAGTAACCATTTCATTCAGCCAAATTCACTGCATTGCTACGCTGTGAGACACAGACTTAAGCCCACTTCGCTACAAAAATCTGCTATACAACAGGAGAGTTTCTGCATCTAACTCCAATTAATTAAGACAAGTTAATCCAACAGATATGGCTAATGCAGAAATGGAATGGAAAATACATTTAATAATTATCCATCATTTACCAAAATCAACTTAAAAATGCTAGGAGCAGAACTCTCCATTAACAGCTACTTGTGAAGAAATAATTGTCTTTTTCAGAAGATCAAAGTACTGATTATTTTGTGATCTTAACAAGCAAATTGAGTTCTTGCATTTCTTCTTCTTTCAGGTATGACTACCCCTTTTATACAGATTTTTTCCTCCCTCACGAAGGAGTAAGTCACACCGGACAATAAAAAGTGAGAACACTGCATCTTTAAATTCAAAGACGGATGGAGACTTATTCACTATCAAAAACTTTAAACAACAACAATGATGTCATCCTGCGGTAACTGAAGAACAGATAGCTGTTTCTAACCAGAAGTGCATGATAAAAAAAATGATCTCACCCAATCTTTTTTTTTATGAACATAACTACAAACCACAACGCTTTATGGCTTTATAATAAACAGTAGCAACATTTTTTCCATCATATCCAACAATGAGGCACTGTTTACTTCAGACCGACAGGGATTAACTGCATTTATAACAGGCAAAACCACAGCCGATGAACAAAGGGTCTGAGTATTCTAACATATGTACTACAGCATGCCAGAGAAAACTGAACATCATTAAACAGTTTTGAGATTTGGGGGAGGGGGTGAAGGGGAGGTGGGGGGATACCAAAAAATAAAGACAGGAGATTAGACGAGAATAAGAGTTTTAATAATTTTCAAATGGTCTGAAGGCATCTTCAGCAACCTGTGGCCCAGAGCCAGACTGCTCCTTTCTCCTCTGAGAACGAACTCAGACAAACTGTCAGGGACACAGTATTCTCCACTAAGTGTATCGTCTCCTGTCTGCTAGCACTTTTTTTATTGTCTGCCTTTTAGGCTTAAGTGAAAAAAAAAATGACACATTAAATTTTACAGACTCCAGCCATGTGTTTGCTTTTAAAGCACAGATCTATTAATCTCTTGATGTATATATACATCTTTCTGATCTCCCCCTTCCATGCATCACCTACTGTAGTATTTGACAAGTACTGACCCAGGCACCATGTAGGACTGGTGCTGGAAAATGAGATGGACAGACACACAAAGATTCACATTAATAATTCATTAATAATGACGACTGTTTTCTCTTAAAAATAAAAACCCCATAGCCCTGAAGGGGGTATCTTCTTGGAAGATACAAATATACATTTATTTCACTGGCTAAAGTTAGTGTTCTGTTGCACTGTAGAGCTATAATAAGGGTGTAACAGTTATCTGGGGCAGCTAACTAACCATACTGACCCAGAGGAATTAGAGGTCTGTTGGTGGTTCTGCTTTCTGGTGTTGTGAAGCTGTGAGAGCTATTTAAAGTTTGTGCCAATAATTGAGAGTGACTTAAAACACCATAACACAGAAAGGTGTTCCAGTGAGAAACTTTTTATCCCCGTATTAAAAGTACATTCATACATTCACTCACGAACATGACTGCATAACCCGTTCAGACACTTGCAGGTTTGAAGGAACTAATAAAAGCAACAGTGCCGCCCCCTCCCAGACTGCCAGCTGGGAGGAGCTGGGGGCAGGAGGCACTGAGGGCGTGGAGAGGTCAGAAACTGCACCGGCCAGGCGGAGTGTGCGCTACAGATAGCACTCCAATTTTCTGTCAGCTGACAAATTCCTGACAAAAGAAGGGCATTTCATATTCCTGTTGAAAGCAATCTAGAAAACACTTTTTTTCTAGCACCACTGTAAGAAGGTTACTCTTTTGTAGATATATTTTAAGGGTTTGTGGAAATGTGGTGCAACTTTTAAACCTCTATGCTGTCGATTAAGGTACCACCACTGCCAGTTTCCAGTTAACGTCAGAACTGGAAATCTTGTATGAATCCAAACACACACAGGGTGGGGGATGAAAAAGAGAAGAAAAAAGCTCTGAATTTGCCAGCCCTCTGTACGATTTGAGCCCTGGCCTCTGGGACCACGAGCCTTGAGTCAACTGCAAGTGACAACCCACCCTGTCAGCCCTTCTATTTTGAAGTCTAATTATTTTAACACAAAAAGACAATGGTGTGTTTACATCTCCTGCGAGCTCAGATCTTTGCGCCCTTTATCGCTATCAGCTAGCTCTTTTTTCCTAGTCCCTGAAGACTCGGAACTGGCAAACAGACAAAAAAAAGAAGGATGAAGAAAAGAGGAAAGAAAAGTGAGAGAAGAAAAATCCAGACTCCTTTTTGATGTCTTCGCTAGCATCCTAGAAACAAAGAGATCTAATTGTAAATGAGCTAATTAAGCAAACTACTGACGAAGCGTGAAAACAATTTGCTTGACCCTTTGCTTCTGCGCAGAGAGATGGAAGAAAAGGGGGTTTGTTGGAGCAGAGAGCTAATCAGTCACTGACGGGCACGCTGAGTGAACACCAGACACCTGCAGCTGAAGCAGCAGGAGCCTCCGAGAGCAGGGACACAGGCGGGCATTTTGAGATACCCAGGCGGATCAGGGAATGGGGAGGAAGTACAGCTAAAACACCAGAAGTTATCCTTAAATTACACCTTAAATCTACAAGTTATTTAAATCGGGTTTATACCCCTGTTATTGCTGTTCTCTTCTAATGGAGCTCAGGGTCACTCTCACCTCTGGTTCAGTTCTTCTAAAAACAGCAAACAGCAGCAAATTTTAAGGGTGTTACATTCTTCCGAATTTGTTTGAGAAATGAAATGTTTACTAAAGCAATCATTAAAAAAGAAAAATAAATGTGAGGGTAAAGTCTTGTAATATTCACAACAACGTGCAGAACACAAGAATGAAGTACGGTAGGACAAGCCTTCTGGCTTTTATTATTACTATCATTATACAGCTTAACATAGCAGGAGATATGTTTCAATTTGCAGCCCTAACTTCATCAGAGATGACAGACCCAGAAACAAGAATACTGAGTGTTTTGTAACTATGGAGAAAGGATAAGCAGGAGTTTCTAAACTTCTGAATGTATTTTTGATTTCTGCCATGGGCTTTAAGTTACCAGCAAAGAAAAGAAAATGAAGAGCTCTGCTCACAGTGTGTACATTTCCTAGGCTCATATAGATCTTCAAACCTTAAGAGGAGATGGAGGGAGGAGGCCAAAATAAGAGACATGCTCCAGCTTACAATACCACAGCATGCCCCCTAAGCTTCAAGTCTGGGCCATACAGGCACGATTTAGCCCAGCCACAGCACCGAGTAACTCACTAACAGAGTTCACTTAACGCTCTTTATTTCATCTTTCCAGGCTACTAAAATGGCTTCTTGTTTGGGACCACTGCTTCCGTCCTGCAGAATCCCGCTAGTTATGACGGTTCAGGAGCTGGAGGAGGAGGACAGGGAAGAGACATGAAGGAGGATGAGGAAAAGGAGTAGTAGACAAGGACACGAAGCAGCAGAAGAAGAAATGGGCTAAGGAGTAAGCAGAAGGAGAAAAAGAAGAACAATACTAATAAAGAGGAGGATTTACTTACTTTATGAACTGGCCCATGTCCTCACAGAGAGCTTCGCACCCTGGCCACTTGCACTCCCCGTGCCCATACAGAGGGTGTGAGCCCGTGTGCTCCTCATGGGAAGAGCTGGGAGAGAGCAGAGGAACAGTATGAGCTCCACCTCACCTCAGTACCGCCAAGGCTGGGGAAGAGGGTCACGCGCACACACACACACACATCAGTAAAACAGGACGTATGAGTCAGTTGACCTCAGCAGCACAACGGAAACTGGCTTACATATCAGAGGGGACAAATGGAGGGCAGAGCTGGAGTGCCATCGCACGTTTTTTGACACATCACTATTGTGCTTTAGTGCTGGGGTCAGGCTGTTGGGTATCTTTGAAAAAGAAGAAGAAACGATGGAAGCAGTCGTCCAAAATGATGCACACATAAAAACAAGCCACAGCTTTTGCTTTGGGCCTGTTGAGCGGCTGGTTAACCTGTCCTTTATTGGCAAGAGAAAGGTTTCAGTGGCCAGTATAACATGAGCAACTTCCTTTCCAAAACTGATGCATACAGTCACAACCACTACAACCAGGATTGGGGCCGAGCTGATGTGCTGAAAGAAAAACACTCTTTCACTCTAACAGAAGAGCAAAAAGCAGTGTTAGATTTTGAAAACCAGACTATAGGAAGAACATCATTAACAAGAGCTCATCACCAGGCCTACACTCTGACCTCAGTTGTTGGAAAGACAATACAGTATAAAGGACAGAATGGATGGTGGCATTCCTACTGTACAGCACCTGTGCTGTTCATACATTTGCTTTAAAACAAAAGAGCTTTGGCCTCTATAGATAGGTTTCCCATTAAGGTTTTTTGCAGCTGCTCAACGGCTTGAAAATCCAGGATTAAAAAAGAAAAAAATATTTTACAGGTACCACATCATACAAACAAAAAAGGTTTTTTCACAAAGAGTGATGTTTCTTCAGATCTGGATAAATAATCCCAAAACAGGAGGCTTCAAAGGTTAACCCATGTTTTTTTCCTTATAATGGCAACATAATAAGAGTCACAATGTTTACTCAAGCACAGCAGACACGCTCTCACACTCATGTATAACCTATAATCCTGTGTGTCACTGCGAGAACTGTGAAAACATGTTAGGATAAAAATGAGGAAAAAGTGTATTATTTAAAAATAAATCTGTGCTAATTGCATTTTTTAATGCTGAAAGCATGCCTGCTACTTTAAACCTAAAAGCTAAATCATCCTTACATGAATGTAAAAATAAAGAGAAAACTTCAGTGCAAATCTGCATTTTAAGGTCTTTAGTTAATAGTGAGATCCTCTCTTCCGGGTGCCGAACCTGTATTCAATTTGGCAAGGAAGGTGCATCTGTTTACCTTGTTAGCTTCTACTAACACCCTAAAGTGCCCCAGGCCTTGAGAAGTCGTGGGACTTGTCTTTTGTACAAGAAAACGGCTTGTTTCATCTCTAGGAACTGTCTCACTTCTTCTCTGGAATGATTAGAACTTTAACCTCTTTTGCTTTCAATTTTCATGTGCTTTTTCAATGCAGGCTGTTAAAGTAAGACGACTATAAATTTAAGCCTGAATCTTATTAAACCAAGAACATGTTACTGAATCCTTTATCCAGCAATGTGCTCATACAGTATGTTTCAAATTTGGAATCACCACCTTGTACAAACAAAAATGCAGGAAATTTACAAAAAAACATAAATGGTTCTTTTTTTAAAACAAAAGTGCATCTTCATATTTAGTATAGACAGAAAGGTACAGCAAACTGTAGTCAAGATATCAATCCATTAACAATTATCCAGCTTATAAACTGTTCTCCGGATTCTTGAAACTTGTCCCAGGATTTTGTTCTGGTCCTCCTCACAAATGCCTCTGAAATTTCAGGTTTTTCAGCTCTGAGAAACAAACAGTAATGCTCAAAGTTTTGTAAATGGTGCTGAAAATCCTCCATAATGCAGTGTTATCCTTTAGCCTACTCAGACTGCAGCATGTTTCATCTTTCTTCCTGAAGCACCCTGCAAGGTAACGAGAACCATCTTCCTCGCAGATGCAGCTAGTCTTTGCAGTCGCACGTCAATGAATGCAAACCAGACAGCTCCAATTCTGAGTGTGGAAAACTCAGTTCAGAAAGGTTCCACTTATGCTAGACACTGTACATTAAGGACTGCCAATTTCTTCTATATTCTCCATGCATAACCACAATCACGTTCCTAAGAACGAAAGGATCACAGTATCTTGTGTACTTTCTTCCCTTTCCTATTTTTAATCAATCCCATGCCATAGCATTACACAGTATCTACTCACTCAATGTGAGTGAATGTGGGAAAAGCAGGTAACTGCTTTCGAGTGCAGTGTGAAGTGCTTATCCACTGGCTCAACCTTCACGAAGGAGGAGATGCACTCCAAGAGTCTTGCTCTTGAAAATGGATAGAATACGCTTTGTGCGCTGCAGGCTCCAAGCAACTCAAATATCTTCTGTGAACACTACCTACACCAATCACCCCCCACTCCCCAATTTCCCTTCCAAACAAATCAGCCCTCCACTCCCTCCCCCCCCATCCTAACATCATCTCAGCCCACGGAGTCCAATCCAACACTACTATGAAACCGTACAGTATTCCAGGTGTATACCCTACAGCAGCAGCTGTGATCAATGCAGCCTCCTCTGTTTATTACCGAGAAACAGCATTTTTGCTTTCATCTTAAATCATGGGGTTGAAGTGCAATCGCACTGCTTGCTGCTGTGATTTGAAGGAGGTGGGGGTGTGGGGGTGCTTTTAAGTTGTAATCTTACAATCCCAGCTGAGAAATTTCACCACGAAAGAATACACACACAGCTATTGGTATCTTCAGACCACATCTCAGGAAGGCTCTGGAATGTCATTTTGTAGGCGATAAGCAAGTGGTAACCAAGCTTGGTTCAAGAAAAGAACTTTCAAAATTTAATTATGAAATCTAATCTCTACACAATCAGACGGACAAGTGGATGACATACAACTGTAAAGTTTTTTAATTAGAAACACATTTTATTGTACGCCCACCCTATTTTGAGTCTCCAGTCATGACTTTGCGTCTCAGCACAGTGCAGCGACCTCCGCACCCACACAGGGGCAAGTCAAGAGCCGCCCTGCCCTCCAGCTGTTCATATTTTGATGAGGAAGTACGGGGATGCAAGAGAGATCTAGCGCTGAGTGGAGGAGAAGCGCGTCCATCACTGATGTCACCACGCAACCTCAGCGGCCCAGAATGTTACAGGGGTTTGCTTTCTTTGCTGAAATCAAGTGACCTCAGGCTCATTCCCTCCAGCCCTGCCCCCAGTAGAATTGATACAGCTGGACAGCATCAGGAAGAAGCAGGGCTTCGGCTTTCTAAATGGCTAGTTTACCTCGATGGCTCTAAACAATACAGCAGTATGAACAGGTACCAAAAGATGGATGTAAAAAAAACCAACAACCTGAGCCATTTCGGATAAAAGCGTCAACCAATAATAATAACAACAACTGTGTGCCTCTGCTTGAGAAATCTGGACCTCTCAGCTCAACCTGCACTCAGAGCATGTACCTTGATTCACTCCAAACATGCACGGCGCTTGTGCAACAAGAGACAGAAATGGCAGGAAGTATTTTTTACCTCTCTCTCTTTGGAGTGTGAACAGAATTCTGTCCGTTTGGCAAAGAGTGATGCGGTATCTGAGGTGAGACCTTGGAGGCCGAGTACGAGGTAGTGTTGGAGCTGTTGGTTGTCAGGTCGAGGCCTTCGTGCTTCATGTTGTCCTCGGCGTTCTGCACGTTGGCCACATCTTTCCAGAGCTGCTGGAGATCCGCGGGACACATGGCTGTGGACACACAGGAGGGGGTAAAGGTTATTGACAGGAAGGGTGCATCGGTGTGAAGAATGATGGGGGTGGGGGGCAGGAGGGGGGGCGGACCTTGATTGAATAATTGAATAAGAAGGGAACATGCAGAACAGACAACACAGACAGATTTAAATAGGAAATTGAGCTGTTCTCTCAGGCTGCAGTAATTTCACACTGTATAATCAGTTCCAATAACTCCTGAGATGCTGTCCTTCAATCAGTCACTCTGATGTGTGCAGGGTGCCATGAAACCACTCTTGCTGGCTTTCTGGAACACCCGTTTGCAACGAAGATCACAAGTATAAAACACCAAATGAATACGCTCTCTGGCCAGGAACCTACTTCACTGAGGACACAGCAACATCAAAATTTAGGAATCACCAATTTGGGGAGTTTGAAATTACTGCTCAAGACATCCTGTACAAGTGTATCCACAGAGTGATGACAAACACACACTCAAACAGAGAGAAACCTGCCCGGCACACGGAGAGAGACTTTTTTATGGAAGAATAAAAGGCAGTGAAGATGAGAAAGCAATAAGAAGCAATTAAAAGATTGGCTTGTTTAATGTCTCAGACACAAATGCCTTACTCAGCTGATTTAAGGCCAAACAAATCAGATTTTTTTTTTAAATCTGGGGATAAATTTATTGACGCACTGCTCTTTTCTCTGCCTTTTACATTTTTGAATACTATTTTTCACTCGGTAGCTCTGCATTTGTTCCTTGAATAACCCTAATGGATTTATCTGATGTCTGATTAAAATGTGTTACAGGAAATCCACCCATCTTCTTATCATCCCTCAGCTTGAACAGATGCCAGTAGGCACCGTGCATCCCTTGAGGAGATAATAAACCGTGTGAGTAAGTTGACATTAGCATGGTAACTCATAAAGCAAGGTGATCACTGAGCTTCGCACTTAACTAGATGGCAAAATCACTTGGGAAACGTTAAATAAATGGTAAAAGGAAAGCTCCTAGGAATGAAAAAAACAGTAAATATCACCATTATTTGTTATCAGATTTCTTTTTCTGTTCTAAGATTCTTAACACTCTTTAAAATCACACCTCGCAATGTGCAAATCAGCACTGTGCATTACATTCAAATCCCTTGTTGTTCTTTTAGTGAAATGTTATGATTTGTAGACTTGTAGCTTTATTTATTTTTCTTTTCATACTTACTGATGGGAAAACAGGACTCTGAAATGAGCACAAAGCAGATTCTTAAAGCCCTGGTCGGTCGCAGTACAGTACCTCTCATGTCAGCAACGTAACAGCAATCCAAATATATTGTCTTGTACGTTCATATTCTTGTTCCAAACAACACCAAAACAAAAGTCCTCACATTGCAAAAATGGGGCTTGTATTTGATAACTGGCTGTGCTTGTTACATTCATTATATGTTACGTGTCCATTATATGTGACAGCCTGACAAAAATTATTAAATATCTACAGAAACGTATATACAGTACATAAGTAATGTACTGTATGTGCAAACGTTATCCCTAGAAATCTAGGGTAAAATTAATCTGAACATTTATAAGATGTAAAGCAGTGAACTTCCACAAAAGAAGTTCAAATGCTACACCTTATACGTGGAAGGGGGCAACTGGCTAATATTGAAGTTTACTTATTATGAAGGCCTCTTATAAATGTTCAGATTAATTTTACCTGCTGTTTAATTTGAGTCTGTATTTTTTAAGCAGGGCCTTAGGGGCTTTTTCCTGTGTGGCACGCTTCCAAGATCACTCTAGTTGCCCACAGTTTCCCGTTTCCTAGCACTGCTCCTGGCACTCGTTCCACAATGAGGAGTTTTAATGCACATGTGTGCGTCTGCTTGCAACAGCGATGTCTGTCCAGCTCAAGAGATACACAATTTGAAGAAGTCTGTGAGTTACAGTATACTACAACCTGGAAATATACTTCCTGCCGGGCTGTTGAGAGTGAAAGCTATTCTTATCACGTTTAACGCCACAGAACTGGAATACTTATTTTCCCCTTTCATCTTGATTAACATACTAAGAGAGCTGGCCTTGTGGTTGGGGTAGGGGCAGCTGAGAGACAACTGCTGATGTGACATTGACGCCGTCTTCACAAATCCATCAAGAACATGATGCTATCCTCACTGAACCACTCAGACTGCAGTTTGCCATTTTAGGAAATACAAGTGAATGTAAAAACAAAGTATGAAATACAAAAGAAAGTTTAGATTTAATGTGAAAACAACATTTGAAAACCTCCCAGCAGATTTCTAGATTCAACATCTTGTTTTTTTAAAATATTAGGGGAAAAAGTGAACTGACTCCGATATGCAGGGAAATGCATGTGCACTAGAAGGATTGCTCATAAGGCGAAAGTCTAGTCCTTCTCGCCTCTGGAAGAAAAGGTCTGGCAAGCATGACTAGACAGAAGAATGCACATGGTCGGCTGCTTTGCCATAATGGAACGCTTCTCTTAAAGGGATTGCAGGGAAATTCCACAGCTCTGCTTCCCGGGGATTCATTGAGGATTGCGAGACACCGAACTTTCATTATTTCTTAAGGCCCCCAAAACGATGACATAATCAGCGCAGGGCTGCCAAAAAGATGCCAAAGCCAGAAGTTTACAGCTGTCTAAAAAATCACATTCCTTCATTCTGCAACCTTCCAGTTGCTCTTTAGGACTATCTTTCCATCAGACGTTTCCTAAACCTTTTCAGCGCACAGGGGTATTAAAGGGAGAGAAAAAAAACAGAGTGGGAGTAGAGGTTAGGCAAAAGGAAGGTCTTTGTTTTCCTCACTTTAAAAAATAACATAGATCAAGTATAAATATCATGGAATTAAAATAAACTTATAAAAGCACTGTATTAGTCTAAAAGCCTCTTCACAGCTGTGGATGCGAGCATGTGATTCACCAGTATTTCATGGCTCACTGTTTGTTTGCTCTAATAAACTTTTTTTTAATGTAAAGGTCACTTTGGAATGAACTGTAACATTACTGAGTGAGAGATTTTGTGGGGAAGTCCTTTCTCTTTACATTGGAAACTGGAAAACAAGCAAAACACACAAGAGCTACAGCACAGAGAGAGAAACGGGCTCCACTGACATTGTCTGTCTGCCCTAAAGGCTGCCCCCCTCCTTGCTGAGTGCAGAGCAGAGCATTTTGAAGGCATATTTTACCTATTATCCAAATGACTGCCTTCCACAAAACCAACAATCAACTATCCCTTTTATCTTTTTATGACCTGATTAAGTTAACAAGCTTCACATGTGGCTACATGTACATGGTTGCGGTTTTCTCGAGGGGGAAACAATCGCACACTAATAGATTAGAATGATAGCTGATTGCTGATTTTGGGACGGAGCCATGATACCTATCATCGTTTTCTTCACTTTCATCACACTTAACCTGCACATTCAGATCGCAAGGGGTCAGTCAGGGAAGAGTGCATCTTACAAGCCCTCCCTGGGGGCAAAAGGAAGACAATGAGAAGAGGGGGGGTTTGTAGTGGGGAGGGGGGGGGTGTTGTAGTATTGGCAGGGTTATGCTTATTTAACACTTAGCACACTTGCTGTATCGCAATAATTAAAGATCGCTTTCCTTTGGTTTTACAGCCTCCACACACAGAGACCCTAAAGAGATGGCAAAGCTGGTTTTATGGAACACAGAAGGTGCCAAATGCCAGCACTGTAGTGACAGCAAAAGACATCTGTCCTCTTCAACCCATGGCCCTCACCTTGCTGCAGAGTCTGCATGGGCACGCCCCCCTGGCTCGGCTGCAGGCTCACCAGGCCCTGCCTCTGCAGGTTGAGGAGGTGCTGCTGCTGCAGCTGCTGCATCTGGATCAGCTGCTGCTGGAACGCCAGTTGCTTGTTTCCCAGCTGCTGCTTCGAGGGGGAGAGAAGGACACAGAGAAAGAGAAGGAGAGAGGTAAAACAGTCAGCTTCTAGTACAGCATCCACACCAGAAAAGCTCTCAAACAGACAGGTGGCTGGTTATAACTGATTGATGCTGGTCATTGAGCGACTCACTGCCAGGTTAACTTTATTTATGGGTCCTACAACCCAGCCCCACTTCCTCAAACCTCTACAGTATTCTGTCCACTCTCTAACACTTCCTGTTACACTACACATTCCACAACTGTCAGTTCTTCTACTGGTCCAAGCCACAGACATAATGTTTGTGCTTTTTACTTTTAAATACGCGTTGCTTTGTTCAGACTCCTCCCACCCAGTTACAGCTTGACGACAACAAAATATTTTCCAAAAAATAAATAGAAACTGACCACTTAAAAGGTTCACGTATAACACAGTAAGAATCAGAAATTAATAACACGCGAACCCAGTGCCGATAACCTCTAGCAAACTCCAAAGTTATCTAGCGAGTAACTGTGTTTCCCTGCCTTTGTTGCCACCGACCCTTTTCTCCTAACATCTACTGTATGCGGTATGTACCACGTGACAAACATGCTATTTATTTCTACCTCTAATTATATTTGCACACACTGCAACTGGTATACACTGACATTTCTGCCTATCTGGAAACACTAACTTCTGCAAACAGTTTCTGGTCACCAGACAGGAAACTTTAAACCTTGATAGTATTTGTACTTGCAGCTGTTGTGAGCTTCAAATAACTTCACCTTCAAATCACCTGAAATTCACACCCCTAAAGGGGTTCTCGACACTGTGATCAATTAAGTAGTTCCTGTACAGCAAAACTACCAGCTTTTTAAACTTCTCAGTAATGCAATTCACTTTTGTGCAAGAACTTAACTGAAGTGTCATGCTGTTTTCACTTTTCATGTGCACACTTTCTGAACAGCGCTACACCTCAAGGATATCTGGAATGCTTTCAGATACTGAGGATGAGGATCGCTGGGCTGCCCCTTTTCAATCCCAGCCAACTTCCGAAATCTGTGCAGAGACTTTCTAATTCTGCGTAACGGGAGGTCACTCTGGCTGCCCTGTGAAGAAGCTGATTAAAACATCTTGCTACTTCAATGATGGAGAATTCAAGATCTTCCAGGCAATCATTTGAGTTGCTTTTGAGAGCTCTCCGAGGATTTGACTAGACTGGAAAGACTGAAATAAAGAAATAACACCCCCCCTGCCCTAGCAGCACCAAAAAAACTTAACACTGAAGGAGAACGAAACCATTCTCCAGATACTATATCACATCAATCTTCTTACAGAGGTGAAAAATATGGGAAATCTACACAGGGGGTGACTGGTACAGGCTATATGGCATCTGGCGATAATGTCAAAAAACGTTAGTTTGATAAATGTTCCCCTTCCTGGTTACTTTCACTTAAAGAGGCTTGCCTGCATCTTGCTTTTGATGTACCCCAATGAAATATGGTCCTTATCTTCTGGAGATAAGACTCTTAAAGTAAAAAAAATCAGTTTCTCAATTTCATCTTAAGAGGTAGCCCTCCCCACCCCCCTTCAAAGACGAGGTGTCTCAAGAGGGGTGAAAGGTCACTTCCTGTGAGATGTGGCACAGAGCCAGTCTGTTAGTACAAGCAGTGCATTTATGAAACAGAGCATCTTTCACATTAATCTTGTTAAAGCCCGCAGACAAAGTGTGTTTTTTTAAAAGGGAAAGGTCCAACAATGGCGGTATTCAAAAACAACTCAGATTTGAGATTTACTCTATACATGTCAGTGACAGAGAAAGCTTATTTTATTTTGCCCCAGAGCGCACCAGTTATGGATTCCTTAGGGGAATTGTACGTCTGGCTATTATCATTTCCCACAGGTTCACAGATTCAGAGCAAAGACCACGTCTGCCCAATAATGAGGTCAACTGACCATCTCAGTCTCCCATTTCTCTGATGAAACAACCAAAGCTTTTGTTTTCACTGCACACTTTTAAGCAATATTGAAGAAGTCTCTGTCGTGCTTCTTCCAATGACACTAATGTTAATTAATAATTTTAATTAAAATTATTTTAACTAATGTTGGAAAAGTCTTCTAGTAGAACAGTGGAATATTTTTCTGCATGGCCATGATTTCCGGTCAAAACAGTGGGTTTGAGTATATTTAACGATAGATCTTGTCCATTAAACTGCCATTATCCTGGCCCGCTCGTATTAACTAGATGATGCCAGGTAAGATGCCGTTGGAAACTACTGCAATGCGTTTAAGATATCGACATTCTACAGATCTTGTAACATTTGTAACATTTTGACTGACAACAGGTGGCCAGCACTTTACACATTGAAACCTTTTGCACTCTATACTGTATATAGAGTTAGTTATACTTTTCTGTGCAGCACAGTAAGGAAAGTGCCCAGCTCGTGTCTGCCCCCGGCTGTAGTGACCACAAGGGTGACAGAAGTGTGGTGAGCTGTGCTACATAGAGGGGTGCCTGCATTTCAAGGCGGAGAGAGGGGCAGAGCATGCACGAGGGTGTGGCACGATCCCCAAACCCCCCCTTTTTTTAAGCCATTTCTAGAGAGACGAACAACAGCATTGAAGACTCGCTCTCCTTCTTGCGCTCTCCCCAGTGACACGGTTCAAGTTCTTTAACACATTGTGTCTGTGTTCTGTTTACATTAGATGCAGTTGAGTGGCTAAAGCTAGCGAAGTAACAGGGCTGTCAGGTTGATTTATGAGCACATCAAACAGAGTTTCAGCATGCCACTGCAGACTGACAGCAGCACTTCATTAATCTGACTCCTGGGTGACTCGAGAGCTGAAGCGTCAAACCAGCATTTTAAACATCAGTTCTTAAAAAGTGCAAAACTGAGCATTACCAACGCATAAGCATGTGGCTGTTTTTTTAGGCTCTTTTTTCCCCATCTTGCCCACATTTCTGCTGACTAACAGCAATGAGCGCTGCAATTAGGACAACTTCTACTTTGAGTTGTACTACAAAAACTTTAACAGACTTTGGGCTATACCAGACAAACAGAGAAAGTTTGAACCAATCTAAATTACATACTGAAACAAACAATTTAGGCAGAAAAATTCAGTCCAAAAATTAACCTTTTATTACCTCAACTTAAATAGTGAACCACACTATTTTGCAAAGCCATCTTAAGGTGAGCCTTTTCTACACCGTCTGTTGGGTAAAGACTTTGCCAGTAGAGCATGCGAAGCTGAAAGCTGTGTCTTTAAAAACCAAACATGAAAAACAGAAGCTGTCTGCAGCTGGCTCAGTGCAGAAACATGGCTCTAAAGGCAGCGAGCAACCACTGCAGATTTAACACGGTCAGGAATCACACCGCATGCTCTGCTTGGCTGGCTTTCATTTAGTCAACCACTGTCAGATTCTCTCACCCCGGGGGCTAGGATCTCCAAAAGAGAAGTGCACATACATAACCCTCGCCTTGTACTGTTGCCTGACTTGGGTTTTTTTAGGAATCTAGGTTTCTTCTCTGCTTCCCTCATGTCCTGTTATCCAGCAAAAATTACATCCGACTCCTGTGGAAAAATTTGTTTCCGCTGTTGCAATCACACGTATCGGTGAGAACACGGTGTTACACAGAGCTGGGGTATTAATACTTTCCACTGGACTGTGAATAAACTGAAGAACCAGCTGAACAAAACCAAAGCTGATTGCCCTCCTAGCCACCGATAAGAACAAGAAGACATTTCGACTGGGTGTCGATTCCCTGTTCGATTGCTCTGGCTTCTGACTTCTGCACTGCCAACATGTGGACACTTGTGTAGGGATCCTCAGTTTAATTAGCTGCCACAGTATCTACCAAACAGGACAGCTGACCATTTAGTGGGCAGTTTGTTGATATATATTCATATAAGGCTCTTCTCCACCATTTACTTGAAACCTCCAGGTGTTCCTTGGAGACTGCCCATGAGGGTCGACAGAGACAAAAGACTTCACCACCAACTTCAAAAGCATTAACCACTCTTAAACCAAGACTTGTATAAAAAAGATCTTTTCTGCAGGATTTGATGAACAGCAGCCCTGTCTTTAACAATTTATTGTATGACTTACTGTGCCGTGTGTAGTCCTTACTGAACCATGCTACATTTTTAGCCTGTTACAGCACTGCACATTCAGCCATATTCAACACTTGCAGAATCTTTATGAGTTTTTACAGTTCTGTAGGTGTGTTGTGAATGTAAGCAGCCATGGTAAAAAGCACCACTAATAGAATTAAACAATAGTAATTACCATAATAGTAGCTTTAGGTATGATGCATTTCAATTTACTGGTCCATTTAAATCAGGATTCCTTTTTGAGAATTGTTCCAGAAAAGGCTGAATTGATACAAACTGGTCTCATTACTTCTCCAACATCTGTTCTTATTTGGATGCTGTAGCTTATCAAATGTATTTTGAGGTGAAAAAATATTATGGAGGCCATAACATTTGAGCCCATTATACTGTGCAGCTTCCACCTGCTCTTAGTTGTAGCCAGGAGCAGAAATGACCCCCAGCCCAGAGCTGTGAGATCACTGTGAGATCTTTATGACTGGGGAGGGAGTGACCCCTGCACACCAGTGCCCTCCTCATATTAATATCAAGTGCCATCTCGCTCTTTAAAACCAACTACCAATACCTGCACCAATATTTAATAAGGGAAAATGTCTCATAAACTCCAGAGGCCAAGACTAAGGTTAGCAAATGTTTTTTTCCTTGTTTTTTACCATTCTCTGCCTTCCTCCCTCCTCTTTCCCCTTGCTGGAAATGTCAGGCTGGTGGTCTCACAAGAGGGAGCAGGTTTTTTGCTGGAAACTGGTGCTATATTAACCATGTATTTGCACGATCAGTCATGAGTGTGGCTGGGGCAAATCTTAACATGAAAGGGAGCAGGACTCTTAATCCTGATGTTTTTTCAAGAGGAAAAGGATTTGAAGGAGCCAAAAGAATATTTGTTTTAAAATCCGTATATGACTACATATGTATTTATTGGTTTTATTAACATTAAGGACACTGGGTTCTCAGTCATAAATAAAAGGATGTATTCTCCATAAAGGGGGTTTAACACCTTCAAAGGACTAAGAATGCTTAATTTTAATTCAGTACTTCACCGCTCCTGTGTTTTTTAGTTTGCACAGCCAGCCATGTACAGTCTGATATACTGATAAGCACCTAGTCCATTAGTGATATCATAAGTAGGTGAAGCACTTACAGTACAAAATAACCATTGTAATGTTTTATTTTTTTTAATGCAAGGCTATCTATTATTTTTTCTATGTATTTCTCTGATTAAATAAAAGTTTGTGAACTGAAGTGTTCAATTAGCAATCAGTCTGTTTCAAAAAGGGAACTTTCCATTGTGCCGTTTGAAATTCTAACGATAAAATGCACTCTCGATTGCCGTAACAGCAAATGTGGAGACAACACATACCAAGGGGTGTCTTGTGAGAGAGCTCCTACAAGCTGTATGGTGAACGAGACGCCGAATGTGAGGCGAGTGGGTGTCAGCGCTGACACCGGAACACGGGGGCCCTTAGGCTCCCTGTACTGTTACCATACCGCAACTCACAGGCCAGTGAGTCAGACTGAACACAGCCTCCCTGACAATGGGGCATGAAGGGAACATCCCCCACACAGCTGAAACTAAATTCTTTTCAGGTAGAGTAATCACAACCCCCCCATCCCTCCTCACTATCCTGCTCCCTGAACAAACAGCAGCTGGGTGGAAGAGGTGTGCACTGGAACACTGTGCTGCATTTCTCATTTGTTTAAAAAAAGAGGACTGGTACTTGATGTGACCTGTAATCTTTAAGACATGTTAAAGATGTGTTCTGAAGATTTTGATATAAAGTACACTAAATAAAGCTAACAAACGTATGGTCTAGATATGTAAAACCCGAGTTTTGGCTACTGATATATTTACAGGCACTCTTAGCCTTTTTCCTATTGATTTTGCTGGTAGCCTTTAACTTGAATTTAACTTGAAATTCTTTTAACTGCATCTATCCCTCTTCCAGGTATCTCATTTTAATCATCTTAAACCTCTGGCATGCTATCCTACTTGCTTTTGCACATAAAAACAAAAAAAACAAGATGCTAATCATATAATCTTCAAAATATCCAAAGCATTTTTGAGGTCATCTGGTATTGTTAATGATTTCCCTCTCACACCTGGAAAGATTTTAATAATTACCAGGCTCAGGTGTTCTTGTCGATGTCTGCGATGTTTGCTAAATATGGCATTGAAGCTAAGCAGGTGTGAGCCTGGTCAGTACCTGGATGGGAGACCTCCTGGGAAAAACTAAGGTTGCTTCTGGAAGAGGTGTTAGTGGGGCCAGCAGGGGGCACTCACCCTGCAGTCTATCTGGGTCTTAATGCCCCAGTATAGTGACGGTGACTATACTGGGGCCTGTAAACAGGCGCCGTCCTTCGGATGAGACGTAAAACCGAGGTCCTGACTCTCTGTGGTTATTCAAAATCCCAGGGCGTTTCTTGAAAAGAGCAGGGGTGTAACCCCGGCGTCTTGGCCAAATTTCTCATTGGCCCTCACCAATCATGGCCTCCTAATAATCCCCATCTATAAATTGGCTTCATTACTCTGCTCTCCTCCACACTGATAGCTGATGTGTGGTGAGTGTTCTGGTGCACTATAGCTGCCATCGCATCATCCAGGTGGGGCTGCACATTGGTGGTGGTGGAGGGGAGTCCCCATTACCTGTAAAGTGCTTTGAGTGGAGTGTCCAGAAAAGTGCTATATAAGTGTAAGAAATCAATCAAATATCTAAAACTTTTAATTGATCTTAGCCATGTTTGGGAGTTACAGGAAAAGTGTCATTTTAACAAATTCTCACAAAGCAAACTAAACCATAATTTCTTACAAAACACACAGAACATGTTGTCTATGTTCTACGAAAGCCCTTATTAAGAATCAAAAAAAATTATGTTGCTTATTTAATGTTTAGTGTGCTAGTAAGCTTGAATGTTTAAGTATCATTACAAGAACAATCCCTTCATGATCACAAGAGAATTTAGTGTGTATATCTCTTAGATTACAAAATACAACCTCATACTTTGTCTTCTAGAAGGAAAAGGTTAAGTGGACAGTATACAGTTGTCCTTTCTTTAAAATTCTTTTGTGATTTAATATACCCTGGCTCCCCCTTCACCACTTGTTCCTTACATTGTATTGAAGAGATCTCCTTTTAACTCTCCTATGATACCAGCCTTTTTCTTAATTGCTCTCTGAAATTATCCAGCCATTTCTTAATTGATAATTAAAACAAATCTATGAATTACTCACATGAGCACTGATAGGGATTTCTGAGGTCCAGCTGTGAGACGGCTGTTAAATTAATATTGAATGGGTATTAACACAGCATCTGAGGTGATTTTACATTTACATGACAAGAAAAAGATTCCTCCCTTACTTAATCCCAGAGTTTTCATCACACTATGCAGGTGCACTAGTCTCCAATGACACATTACGGAGATGGAAAAAAACGTGCAGCCTCAAACCATCAAGCCATGAAGAGAATGGACTATTTTAACAGTGGAAACCCCAGAAGGGCAAAGAAACGCACGCTAACAATACGCACAGGATGCATTCATTTAGAGGTGCATGTACAAAAACATCCTTCATAACTCTTTTGTAAGGAATGATACACGATATCTACTTCTTAAACTATTTCAGCAGCTTTTGGTTTCTCCATCTCTTTTTCATCCTAAAAAGTGATGCAAGTGCTTATGTTTGTAAAATAAATTAGATATCATTAAGATTCTGAGGTGATTCTGCAGGGGAGATGAATCTAAACATACTCGTCACTTGCCCTTGCTAGTTCCACAATGACGGACACAAAAAGAGTCCCACATACACAAAAAGAGTCCCATTTAGGCCTTAGTTTCAGTTTTTCAGGTTAAGGCAAGGGAGTTCTACAGAAATATTCACTAACTACAAGAAAAATCAAAAGTGAGAAAAAATTAGTTTTAAATAAAGGGCTTTTTTTGCATCCCTGAATATGGAGGGCAGAAATAGGAAAAGGGAAACAGTTTAAAGGGAATAGAATCATAAAAGCATTGGAAACAGCTGAGTCATCGTTTTACTGCTGTGAAACCAAATTCAGACACATGCGCATGCCCCATGTTTCTCAGATTCTGTCAAGACAAGAAGACAGAAACAAAATGGCCTGAAAAGTCAAGTTTATTTATTTGCTCTGTTCAGGTTTCCGGATTGTTCCCAAACTTTTCTGTGCTTGCTCCAGTCCTGCTGTTAAGACTGGCTTCATGGGAACCCCAACCAAAGCCTCAGACGCCTGGGACACGGCATTCTGAGGGACTCTGTTCTTCCTTCAACAGTGAAGAACTACCACACAGAAATTCTCTACTTGTTTCCTGGTGTCAGAAAGCACTCACAATGCCCAGCTCTTTTATCAAAGGGACAGATCTCACCTCTTTGGCCTGCTTTCCCGCTTGTTGCTGCTGCGTGAGAAGCTGAAGGTGCAGCTGTTCCTGCTGCTTCTTGTAATACTCTTGCAGCTGGGGGAGTAAAACAAGAGACATTGGAGTGTTAATGACCACATGATTCCAAAAGACTACCAGCCAACACATTAAGCACATTAGACAATGATACTTAGTGCATCCCAGTGATCTCCCAGTCCTTACCAATTCCCCATTCAAGAGCATCAGAATGGATGAACTTTATTCCACTGCACCACCACACAGTGGTAACACAAACCACTACTGCTTTTATAACTACCATAACAAAGCAAGTTTATGATTACAGAGGCCTAAGAAACAAGAACTGTACAATGTCATTGTTTTTCCACAAAGCACAGATATGCAGGGCTGTGGTTGCTCTTTTCCCACAGACAGCAGTGCTACAGTTCTCTCTTGAAAGCATATGTTCAGTCAACTTGCCAAAGGCCCATCAGCAAGGAGATGTCCCTTCAAGCCAGGCCCAAGCTGAACATCTCGTGTTGTAAATGTTCACTGAAGTGTGAAAAAAACACATAAAGATTCTTTTCAAGCAAATGGTGGTCTGGACAAAACAAAACAAAAAATAGCATCAGACATGACCAAACAAGATCTTTGCTTCAGGGAGATGTTTCCAGCAAAAATGTACACCATTTTACTGCTTTTCAAAATCTGCTCTCACACCTGGGCCTAAACAGTGGATAAGCACAATAAATCTTCCAAACAATTTAGCCTGGCTTTCTTTGGGTGTTGCTACAGAGTCCAAGTCATGGCTGACAGCCCCTCTTATTTATGGACTGCCTGAATTATTGTGGGGTTGGTGTTCAGGGAGCTGAAACTCCAGGTCATGCACAGATAGTGGGGCTGTGTAACCAGCCACACAGCATTCACTCTGGTATTTCCTCTACTGTTTCACTCTGCTTGGAGTAACAACCAACGAAGCAAAGCAAAAAAGACAGAAATCTGAAACAAGACAAGCTGCAGTTGCACTGCTAGAGTACATACAAGCCTTTTCCACTCAAGAGATTTGTTGCCATGTAACACGAGTTATTAGGCCACAACACACAGAGGAGAAAAGCGCAACACATGCAGGAGTTGTGTCACACAAGTTAAGGAAAAGAAAAACATCTAAGGAGGAATTCCAGTGTGTAAAACCAGGTACAGGGAAAGCCAGTGCTGAGAGCTCTTCGGCAACTGAAGAACCTGTCAGGGGAGACATATCCCTCAGGAAGTTATTCATCTACAAGGGTAGCTGCTCTGAGCTTGTGCAACAGACTAAAGAGCCACTGTGCCAGCCTGCAAAATTTTATTACCCATGGTTAGGGAGAGAAGTGTTGTGTAACATTAAATAAAACCACCTTCTATGACCTCATTAAAAAAGGACTGTACTAACCTGCCCAGCCACTCCAGGGCCCAGTTTAAATTCTGAGAAAACAACTGTCTGTTTACCCAGAGGCTGGGTTAATGAAGAACGCAGAGTTTATTTACTGTGTGGTTATTCATTTAGAGCTCTTCTGAATAGGAAATTCAATCTCTGTGTACAGGTAAATATTGCTCAGCCCATGATATCAGCGGGAAACAATTTGGGCCGCCACACCTACCATTGATTAAGAAGGGGGGGGGGGGACAAAGAGAAGTTATAAATAACAAAAATAAAGACCTCAGTTATCAAGGAATACATCACACAGAGGCTTTCTTCATGCTGCTTAAACTGCTTATATTAGGCTTTTTTGAAACAGTTGAGGTTTATCACCTCACACTAACACATAATTCAAGTATTAGGATAAGAGCTGGCTGTGAATGCATTGTAAGGAGGTCTGACCTTTTCCAGTGAAAGTGGATTAATATTATTGCCATAAAATCATTTGGGGTTATTCTGTCTTAAGGCATGGGATCAAGAATAATTAAAAAAAAGTGCTGTGGCTATATTTATCTTTCATCGAATACTGCAGTATGCCATCTTAAAAAAACCTGGCCTCCAACCAGAAAGTTTGTCATCACAGGTTCCACTGAACTGCAAGTCTGGCTAACCACAGAAGCCACTCTGGTTAAGTCTGTTTGCTTTACTTTTAAATTATTAATTTGCGAAGGAAGTCCCATTAAGATTAGAATCTTTCATTGCAAGGGTGACCTGTCCGAAAGGGAAGTGCTTGCTGTATCCTGTCAGGAAATTTACGGATATGTATCACCAAATAAACAGAGCATTGCAACACGCCTTGGTCTGTCTTTCACGTCAGCAGTTCTGCGTAGCAGAAAACGTTCTTATCCAATAAATAATTCTGTTTACACAACTCCCAATAACTTAAGACAACCACACAAAAGCATGCCCATTAATCAGTTGCGCAAGTTCCTGACTGTACAGTTAATCTCTTCTTTAGATAGCGAGGGCCTGTGTTCAGAGCCCTACAGGACAGAGGCAGCTCTGATCGGTTGGGTGTGCATGGGCTTTTTTAGGGAAAATTTCTACACAACGCACTGAGGGAAATTAAAAGATAACACTTGCTCTGAGCAACCCAACACAACAAGGGCAACCCCTGCTTTGCACGTACATGAGCATTACGTCAAAATAATTCAAAGCAAGTTTAGCACAGGAGAAATTATTACAATATCGTACTGAAGGATAAGGAGAAAATACATTCTTTTTGATTACTGTAAGAATGACTACAGGATATTTAAGAGGTTTTTAAATTACGCTTCTAGCAAGTGTGACCTTGTAGATTTCTGGGTAGGTATAGCATTATAGATGACACACAAGGTGAATGACATACAATTATTTTGTGCCTTTGGGACCTGTATATTGCTACTTGACCAGTTAAAGTTAGAAATAACTAATACATGCTTGATTTTCAAAGGAAAAGCTCACTGCAGACTGCAAGTCTGTCCAAAACTGCCCCAGAATGCCAGGAATAAATCAATCAGTTTGTATACAGCTGACGTCACTCAGAGAGATGAAGCCTCAGGGCAGGAAATTACTGGCTACAATGAGAGATCATTAAATAAATGCACACCAAGACCATACCAGAGAAATCCCAGGAAGCACAATAAGTATTCTCTTTCAATGAAGTGCACAGCGTTATTTGGGGATGCTTAACACAGAGTCCCAAGACAAAAAAAGCTGTTCTTATCGACTGCAAAACTCTATCAGTCAGATGCCCATGTCTCTCAGGGATTCACTCTACTAATCTGCCGGCACAATGGGCTACACTTGCTGCTATGCACCGCAGCACAGGTCTGCTGGAGCTCACAGTCATTACCCTCTTAATTCAGGCGAATATGGAATTTAATAGTTGGAAGAATAATTAAAGGGATAATTAAGGGTTTTTTTAATGATTTGATTCAGTGCCCCTTAATGTTAGCTGCACAGACTGGAATGCATTCACCTTTGATTTTCATTATAGTGACCTTGGGTTTCACTTTAAAGAAAAGACGAGAGACAGGAAACATTGACTGTAGTGTAATTATAGGCTGCAGAAATAAAATCTGGACAAATTGTGTATGTACACATGTACATATAAACAATCTATAGACAATATTCACCTAACATGATTCTCTACAGGTAACTTACAGAATATGCAATTCACTGAATTCATTTAATTTGCACAATTCACTGTAGGCATGGGAAGGGACAGGCAAATGTAGAGTTTACCCATTTTTTTAGTGTTTTTTGTGTAAAAGGAGGGAGAGAGATGTACTGTGAAAAGACTGCTTTTCTGGGAAATCTGCAAATATTTTATTTTTTTATGATCCATTTTGTCAGATCTTTTTTATTTAATTTACACTTGCCTCCAGCAGTTTTTTTTCCCATTATGATTGAATCAACTGTCTTCTCAAGTTGTGCCAGAACTTTTCTTTCTTACGGCAACATCTTTAAAACTCACACACTAGTGATTCTGAAAGCTGGGTGGGGGATATGACCTCATTTCTCTAGGTGCGGAAGGTGAAGAGGTCAGTGGGCGTACTGGAGAGACTCACTGAAGACAGGGTGTTTGTTCAGTCAAGCCCAGCAGGCATCTCCTCCAGCCCCCAGCTAGTACAGCGTCAGTGCCTTCCAACGAGTATGGAAAGGTATTCGGCTCCGTTTTTTCAGTGAGGTGCACAGCTCTCACTTGCCCAAATGGAGAATAATATGTGCACTACAATCTAGTGTACATTTGAGGAGCTGCAAATGACACTTTCTAAATGTGTAATGGGCTATTAACACCGAGTTGCCAATAAAACATTTATGTACATATACAGAAATATTTCCAGTTAATGTTGCCGTTTGAGTAGTAGCATTTTTGCATCGCAGGCTGGTTTTGCTCAACAGTTTTGCGATGTAAGAAGACAATGAACAGGAAGGGGGCTGATGATACTAATTAATGTAAAAACCTAAGAGATTGGAAACAACAGTAAGCTGCACGGCCCATCCTGCTTGTTTGCTTGCCAGCAGCTCACAGAACTGGGAGCAACGCACTACACAGCAGCGAGGCGGCTCCGCCTGGGGGGTGAAAGGAGAGGTACGCGGCTGCGGACGGCAGCGCTCGCCGGGGAGGCTCCTCCCGTGGTGATGGAGAGGGGCAGCGCGGTCTCGCAGGGCTGCTGGAGACGAGGCCGAGGGCGCAGCGGAGCCTTTACCTGCTGCAGCATGAGGGCCTGCTGCTGCTGGAGCAACGCCTGGAGCTGCGGAGGAGAGAGGATCTGCTGCATCTGCTGGGGGGTGATCATCTGCGGGGTCATCATGGCCACCGAGACAGGAACCTGCGGGAGGGAAAACGCTCAGTCAGGCTCCCCTTCCGCACACAGCCCGCAGCAGCAGAGTTTCTACTAGCCCTGCGGGCGACAATCCCTGCAGCTTTTATGTGACTGATATATTTGGTTCGTGTTTTCAGATACACTCATTTTTTTCTCCATTACTCTTGCAGGCGGGAAGTTTGCAATTTTACAGTTTTCCTTGGTCTTCCCAGAAAGGTAAGAGTCGTGCTATGGCCCTCAGCCCGGGTGGAAGACAGTACTCAGGAGAGGTGCGCAGTGCAGGTAAAAGAAGCAGCTGGCTCAGTACGCCTGCCTGGGACACAACGCTACACAGCAAGCACCTGCCTGCCTTGTGACACTACCACGCTCTTCGACTACATTACAGTTAAACTAGGTTGGTTCTGTTGAACACTATCCAAAGTCAATGTGGTTCCCTTGTAGTTTTATTAACAGCATTGTAGTTTATAATTAAGCTCTAATGAATGTAGTTCTTAGATTTTTGACAATTTGTTTTCCTTTACCCACTTACTCAGAGCCTGTGTTGTCTCATACTGTATTCATTTTGTGTGGACATATCTGGCACATAACTAATCTCAACACTGCAGTACTTTCCTTATCCTAATTAATTGCAATCATATACAGTAGCTAGTTCACTTATTTATAGCATTTGCATAATTAATCTAAGTATTGCAATAATTTGCTTACCTTAAACTGTGCTGTATCAGCCGCTGTGCTATGTTGAATTGTTTTGCTGAATTATTGTATTAATTGATTTCCTTAGGTTTATACCCACAACATAAACATTATGATTTATGGCTTGGATAAAAGCATCAACTGACTGATGACTGATGATGATGATTATTAGGAAGAAGAATAACACCATATCTCCAAGAATATTAATGACTTTTTCTGAAAAATCTGAAATCGATACAAGATATCTATTGATACTGACAACAGCAAAGCAGTTTTGATATGCATGAGTTACAATGATGTAATAAGATTTTTGGTGATCAGATCTACCAAAAAAAATGTCTTTATCCTTTTCTGTCCTACTTCAATTAACATTTTATTCTGATTTACCATCAGCGAACCACTTAAAAAAAATACTGAATGGTTTGATCGTTATCTTAAGGCAACGGTGACAGTAATGTGAAGCGTAAAGCTTTTGGTGATGCAAGAGGAAGAAGTCACAGCTCTACTAATCGCATTACAAATCCGTGATCAAGTATCACTTCTTATGAGACCTTGAAAAGCAAAGGCAATAGCCCCTAAAGACCAAATTGTTTTTACATACTTGGGATGATGCCCAGGGAAAAACTACCTCCTGAGAAATTATTTTGCAGCGTAACAATTGAATTTGTCACATTATGATATTGTCGAAACATAGGGCGCTTTTTTGTTGTGGTACATTGTTCTACTTTATAAGCCTGAAAATAAATGTCCTTTCTTTCAAATACCATCATCAACCACAACAAGAGAAAAGGAGGTTTAAAAGCAGAATCAAATCATGTGTTGCAACTTGTGAACACAGCAGGAAAGGTATAGATTACACTGTGTAAATGTATATTATATGTATATATATTATATATTGGTATATTAACCGTTCCATCTACCCAGAAAGCCACCTGGTCTGATGAAGAACCTATCCCGGAAACACAATGCACAAGGAAGGACTGAGAGCACAGCACTCCTCTCGCCTTGAAAGGGGCTGTCAGTCAATCACAGGCCAGCACACACACGCTCATATGCACAAGCACGCAGGGACAATTAAGAAACTCCAATTAACTCCATTCTGCATGTCTTTGGGAGGTAGGAGGAAACCGGGTTACCCTGAGAAAGCACAAATCAACATGGGGAAACATGCAAACTCCACACACAAGGGTGGAATTGAATATAGGATCCAAGACCTGTGAGGCAGCAGCGCTACATATAAATGCCACAAAACTGTTCTGACTAACTCTAAATACTGTGCTCATTCCCAAAGTATTCTGCTGTCAATACTGTCACTGAGTGGTAGGCAGTATTTAAAGACAGCTTTAAATATGTCTATTAAGGTGTAGTTTTTCTATAAGGGGCCATAGGAATTGTTGAAGTGAAATATCCCATTGAGTGACTTTTCAACCGTACAGTGCCGCAACATGTTCCTATCAGATATTTGCATTCATTTGTTTTCTCGCAACGCATGACTGGCCGTATTTTGAACAGCCTATCTATGCAAAGCCTGAGGGAGAAAGAGCTGTCAGTTACAAATTAAATCTGTAAAGAACTGATTTTACTTTGTAAACAAGATTTCCCGTAAATAGGAACACCTCCTGCTTGAAGGCCCATCATGCTCCAGGCAGATAAACTCTTTCATGCTAGCTCTGTGGCTCTTAGTTATTGGTGACAAAGCTGAGCCTTCAGCCCTGTCCAGCCCTTTATTAAAACTGGAACTTAGAACCACTCCACAGTGAAATCCACAGAAGACCCAAAGATGTTTCAAATCTGGAACTCCGGCTTCCTTCAGCAGACAGGGCAGACAGAGCTTTGATACCAATGTATTTTCTGCACGGAGTCTCTCACCTCTTTGCGACAGACAGTGGACAGAACTTGTCTTGAACGCCACCAATGTAAACAACATTTCTTTGCCAAGCTGTGCAGTAAAGCACCTTATAACTCCAGGGAACTTTTTACTCATGTATCAATGAATTTGTACATCTACAAAGGCACTGAAGTGCATGATTAAAAACAAACCTTTTCTCAAATATATCACCTGTCAGATTAAGGATTTTTAAACCTTTTTTATTTTTTAATAGCATTAGCAAAAGCATAGTTTAATGGCATGCAAAGGGAGGGCAACAGTGGTTACTGAACAGACATGGACTCAAGAACTAAAGCAGGGAATCCAGATGTTCTGTGGCAAACCTAAGAGCCTGGAAGGTCTTTGACTTTACTTATTTAGAAACTTGTCATTTTTTAAATGGCTAAAAACCCAGTTCCTCTTGATAAAAACCTCAGGTCCTAAGAGGAACAAGATGCAATTCATACAAATTCTAAAGGATAAACAACTTTGAAATCCCTTCCTGGCAAGGCTTGTAAATACCTGTACAGCACCTCAACATCATGACTTGCTAATAGCCATGTATGCAGAATGGTAGCATCAATCATTTAAAAAATGTCTGTTCTGAAAAACAGCACCTTGGCCTTAAGGGACAGTTTCATTCATTTTTCCACCTAACTCAAAATACTTTGTTACTCACTTAAAAAGGAACCCAGGACCACAACACAGTTGTTGTCAGAATCTGGAGCTTATGGGGGGTGTTCAACACGTTAGGGTAATGTGAAAAAATTAAATGCAGTTTTTTTTTAAATAAAATCTACAAGGGAATGAACTGGGGCTATCGCTAATATTCTTGAGAGGGGTAGAGAAGAGGAAAAAACGCCATCCAGCCCACTGAGAAATCCAAGCTCCAGGAGGAACAAATGGCAGCACTGGGGAAATGCCTGGCGTCACGCTAATTTGGCTTGTGCCGTCGCTTGTCATTTGGAGCTGGGAAATGAAAACCTGTAATTAATTGCTCTTGTGCATCCCATTCTCCAAGTGACAACCCATACATTTTATTTTATACACACGTTCATTGACATTTTCAAGTTGCAGGCATAATAATTACCGGAGTTATAACACCTTCCATTCCGCGGCTGCACGATTGACGAGTGAGTTGAATACCGAGTTGTTAAGGTTTGACGGCATTAATTGCCCCTATAATCTAATATCACAAAGGCGGGCGATTACATACCCTGAGCGGAGCATGCAATTCGACACTAGGGTTTCAGAACGGCACGAGAAAACAAAAGCGGTACCATTAGCAGCTTGACGGCTACTAACAAAAGCATCTCACAATGCCGAATTATATTTTCATTCGGCTTTGTCTCTCAGCATAAATGATTTTTTTCCTCCCTTTCATTTAGATGTGAATAGAATGGGTAATAGAAGAGGCTGAAAAAGCTAACGATTTGAAGTCAGGCATAGATTAAATGCATTTAATTTTTTTCGTTTTCTTTTTTGTCACCGCCGGTAATTTAAAAAGATGCAGCACTTAGAGGCCCCTGAATATAGATTAGCAAGGAGAGGTAACAGCTTTGCCTCAACCAGGAGGGAAGAACACAGATGAAACTCCTTCCTTCATTCCCATTAAACATTTAGGTTAATACCAGCAGCTCAAGAGACACAACAAGCTTTAAGCTGAATTCCTACGGCAAACATGACCACCTACTTGGCGTTTAATTTTATAATTAGAATTTACTAACTGTTTATTAGAATGTTCAATGTCGCACACCTCCTGTTAAGGTAAATGTCTGCATGAAATGATAATGGATCAGCTTTACAAAGCCAGACCAGAACACCAAGACAAAGTCTCACTGGTGCTTCCTGTAGTTTTTCTTTGCCCAACGGACCCACAGCAGACAAATGTTTTTGCCCTTAAAAAGCATGTGATGACACTGAGCTAGAACAATCAGGATGGGTTGTGCCCTGTTTACATGCTATATTTTCCTAAAACCTAAGGGACTGCAAATACTTATCTGCACAGAACCCAGAGGAAATGAGGTATTTATTTCTCTCCCGGGTGTAAGTAGAGACATAGTCGTTGAGTATTATTCACTGTATGGCCACACACACCTCTAGTAGTTAATATGAGACGTGGATATGCTTTCAAGAGCCTATTCTGCCGTTTCTAGCTGGTGGAGACAGAACGGTAGGCATGCAGTGTTAAAACTGCACAGAACAGGCAGGCGCTACAGAAAAGAGGAGGAATTTCCTGTGATTTAATGTTACAAACCCTAGAAGAACAGAGGAAATGTACTGCTGGAAAATGTCCAGACTGGAATCCTTTTGGTTACCTGATTGGTGAGCTCTTTTGGAACGCGAGATATACAAATAAAAATAACGGGGTTGAGGGGGAATTAAACGCCAAGCCAGGCAGCTCCATAAGCATCTCAAATTGGCTTCTAATGAGGGAGCTTGTGGC